GACTACTGGAACAGAGAGACGGCGTATATAAGATTTAATAAAGACACAGCCTCAGATTACTATAGAGAGGCTAAAACAGGTTATTAACATCAATCATTTTAGATTACAGTAACCAGATATATTGTACGTGGCCTGGTATAGTAACTAGTGTCTAGTATACAGTATAATAACTCGTATACACTGTAGTAACTAGTGTAAAGTATAGTAACTAGTGTACACTATAGTAACTAGTGTACAGTGTAATAACTAGTATACAGTCAATAAATGTTTTTGCCATGAAACGGACCAAACTGATCCTAACTCATATTCCACTCATCATAGCATATCGCTTCAGCATGTACAAAGGGCATAACCTCAATCAGTTTAATGTAGTGAAATGACTGGTGTGAATGAAGTAGTGTACTAATACAAGTTGGAGAGGATCAGGTAAGCTTAGTCAGCATCCATGATGTTACAAACCCTCTGGGACATTACTGCGCCCAGTCTCCAAAGTTACAGTAAATTCCTACTACGGACAAACAAACACAGACAAAACACCAACAAGAAACTGATATACACTAGCTAGCTCAGAGAGGAAATGAGTACCGGCTCAGGAGGTATGTCAAAACAGGGCGCCCTTTCGAACACTACTCGGGCTAGAATCAGTGCAATTCGGACACTACTATGCAACTGAACCATGCAAAACTATATAAGTACACCTATGCTGGCAAGGCAATAGGTCAGACTGCCAGTCCTGAAAACCAGTTCTATGATAAGGGTCACGCAAGCCCCGAAGGGTTAATACAAAATCAATAAATGTTTTTGCCATGAAACGGACCAAACTGATCCTAACTCATATTCCACTCATCATAGCATATCGCTTCAGCATGTACAAAGGGCATAACCTCAATCAGTTTAATGTAGTGAAATGACTGGTGTGAATGAAGTAGTGTACTAATACAAGTTGGAGAGGATCAGTATTTGTAGTATAGTATACAGTATACAGTATTTGATCCAGAACAAAAGGAAGTGATATTAATTTGAATAACCGTCCGCAAATGCAAATTGATACCGAGAATGAAATCGGTCGCTCGCTTTTACCATTCAATTTCATTCACGGCTTACGAACTGTAATAAAGCTTATTGATTGGGAATATAATATCGGCAGTAACTCTGTACAGGTGATAAATCAAACATTCTTCAGATAGGTGTGACGTTGGTACAGTTAGAGGCCATGATGACGCCCAATGCAGGAAATGTGACCCTGGTACAGTTAGAGGCCATGATGACTCCCAATGCAGGAAATGTGACCCTGGGTTCGAGCCAGACCCTCCTCAATCTGCGTGTGGTTAGTTATAACCTTGTTCGTGTAGTTGTTCTATGAAATTGAACATGTAGTTGTTCTATGAAATTGAACGTGACATAATTTGCTAGAAATAAGAAAAATATCGTATTACCACGCACTGTTAAAATGTTAAGATCGTTGTTTGTTCAACCTGAGGATATCATGGCTCTAGTACTCTTCAAAAGTTGATTCACAAGATCTGCTAACTTACAAGATGTAACATCACTTCAGTGCCCTGTCCAGCTGGAAGCTACAGGAATATTGATATGGACACGTGTGCAGAATGTCCTGACAACACGATCAGTACAATAGAAGGACAAGTCTCGTGTATACCTTGTGAAGATGGCAAGGAACGAGAATTATATGGAACTGAATGCGGTAAGGAATCTGAATGGGTTTATGTTAGTTGTAGAACCTTTGAGATAGGATGATGTGAATCGTCATCAATAATTATATTAATAAGAATAACTGACCAAAAACGTGTTCTGTTGATTCGCGCAATTGCAGCCAACTTTATCCTCTTATGCCAGTCAGTGTAATCACAGTGCTGGCAAGCACGATCCCGTGGCTCTTATACATTATATACTATTTTATCCCTATACTATTACCAAAAAGATGATTTTAGAAGAAAAATTGTCTTAAATAAAATCGGTCGATTGCTTTTCCCATTCATTTACAATTACAATTGTAATAGATTAAGAAGAACTACCTGAAGGCAGCTGTACTCGGCAATAAAGATTCAATAATGAATAAATATCAGCTAATTGGACACTATAAACTATACCGCCCTTATCTCGAAATACTAGGTATCGACCCGAAAGCAACCCAAAAAGATTTGTTCAGCATGTGATTGATGTAATTAATCGAAACTTATTAAAATTCGTAAGCCGTGAATAAATGGGAAAAGCGAGCGACCGATTTCATTCTCGGTATCATTTTGCATTTGAGAACGGTCATTCAAATTGATATAATTTCCTTTAGTTTGGGAAAGAGAGACACTGGCAGCGGTCCACTCTACCCAATTATGGGTTTTGGTCAAATTATGTTAAATAATATCCATACTACAGTACATAGCTACATGATGAAGAGAAATTAAAACATAACTGATTTTTAAAATTTCGTCGAACAAAGCTTTCGACTATTTACCAATATCCTCAAACTTCACTGAACGTGTCCATTTGAAATAAATTTCGTCGTAAAATTTTTAATGTACATATTAATCGTTATAATTGAATTAATACTATTTCAGAATATGAGTATGAGGTAGAAATGTCGATACGTTATTCAGCTATTTATTTCCATTAGAATCTGTCTTCTTTTTTGAATTGTAGTTGACGAAGTGAGAGTCTCCCACTCATAAGAGCAAAAAAAGATTACCAGAATCTGTTTTCACTGAGTCTATTCAGAAACAATCAGAAATTTGAATAAAAGAACTATCAAATCATGAGACTCAATAACACTACACGAATCCACCAGTTGTCCAGTTTACCAATATCCTCAAACTTCACTGAACGTGTCCATATAAATGTATTTAGTAGTAGGCCTTCAAATTGATCCAATTGAAATAAGGCATTTTAGACAAATAACATCGCAGTATTATCTGTATCTGTATAAGAGTTAAAAAATAATAGTTGATTTCCCGCACGTTGTATATCCCTTTTGTGCACAAAAAAGGTAATAATTTTTGTCTGTAATAATAATGGCATAAAATTGAAATGTTTGTTTAGGTTTTTGTTGAACTTCTGAAATACCTTCAGCATCTTATTTTAACTATTAGCTGTTATTTAACGGAATTTATTGGGTAAGAATATCGTTAGAAGTAAAGTAAAATTTATAATAGTAGACTGAAATAAATATTCCCGTCAGAATGATCAATTTATTTTAATTAACAATAAATAACCCATTAGTGAATATAATTCACAAACTCACAACTGCAGGGTGGACAGCAGTAACAGAATTTGGCAGGCTAATACCCTTCCCACTTGAATCTACTTCACTGGAGATAAGGACTGATAGTCGGCTGGGAAGTGGTGATAAAGTGGCGGTGTTTTTCTACGAGGATACCTCATTCACCTCATCAGGAGGAGTATATATCTCCTTCTCATCTACCCCCCGGTACTTGATCTACTACTGCACCAGTTCCTACACTGATTTCCCAGTTACTCTGCCCTCCACTACTGACAAGATATGGAGGATCACCCTGACACTCAGTTCAGATGTCAGAGTTATTATACACTGTAATAACGAGGAAGTACTTAACGTGCTGCTATCAGACACCTCGTGTGATGACGGTAGGTGGGGAGACTACTGGAACAGAGAGACGGCGTATATAAGATTTATTCCTTCCGACACAGCCTCAGATTACTATAGAGAGGCTAAAACAGGTTATTAACATCAATCATTTTATATTACAGTAACCAGATATATTGTACGTGGCCTGGTATAGTAACTAGTGTACAGGATAGTAACTAGTGTACAGTATAGTAACTAGTGTACAGTGTAACTAGTATATGTGTAACTAGTATATGTAGTATAGTAACTATTATACAGTATTTGACCAAAACCCATAATCATTGGTAGAGTGGACCGCTGCTAATGTATATCTTTTCCAAACATAAGGAAATGATATTAATTTGAATAACCGTCCGCAAATGCAAATTGATACCGAGAATGAAATCGGTCGCTCGCTTTTCCCATTCATTCACGGCTTACGAATTGTAATAAGTTTCGATTAATTACATCGATCACATGTTGTAAAAATCTCTTTGGGTTGCTTTCGGGTAGATACCTAGTATTTCGGGATAAGGGCAGTATAGTTAGTGTCTAATAAGCTATTGTTTATTGAATCTTTGTTGCCGAGTACAGATGCCATCGGGTATCTTTACTTAATCTATTACAATACTATAATACCTCCGCCACTGAGTGCTGCGCGCTATAATTCCCGACAGCTTGCTGGAGGGAATTTGCGGGCACGAAGTTGCGGAGGTATTATATTTTATAATACGTTCCGGTTCCGATTGCAGAAGGGGTGTAATCCGATACGTGCGCATCATACAATATAGTGTCTAATATATAGAACGCCAGTGTTATTTGTTTTGAAACTTGCCGCCAGCCAGTCTGAGTCTGGGCTGATAATACCCTCGCTTCTCTTGCGGGAAAAATGAGCAAATTATCAGCCCTCGGTGTCCCCGAGTTTTAGTGGATATAATTCCCGGAAGGTATTATAATTGTAAATGAATGGGAAAAGCGAGCGACCAATTTCATTCTCGGTATCATTTTGCGTTTACGGTCGGTAATTCAAATTAATATCATTCCCTTTTATTTGGGAAAGAGAGACACTGGCAGCGGTCCACTCTACCCATGATTATGGGTTTTGATCAAATTGTATGATCTAGAATGTAACATTTACTCGAACTCATGTGGTTTTCTTTTGCAGCCAACCAAATCGAAGGAGAAGCTTCACTGTTTCAAAATCCTTCCGCATCAGAACTCCAGTCCGGAACAACTGTTACGTTCACTTGTGTAGTGACGGGAACTCCTCGACCTACTAGAGTAACCTTAAAACAGGGTGACAAGGTGTTGCGGTCATACTGATGATCAGGGTAATAACTATGGCGGCAGTATTGACGACGGCTACAATGATCCTGATCCTATCTTTGACGACAGCTTTAATCGTGGAAATAACGGTTATCCGTTTACTACTCCGGCTACTACTAGTAGTAGAGGTAGTTTCTATAAAGATAACCATACTGATCCTTTCAACAATAATGACGCCAACGGTGGCTATAATGCAAATGTTGATGATAGAAGTTACGATAATGAAGGTTACGACGAAATTGGAAATTCCGAAAATGCAAATGATGACGAAATCGAGGTTGGTGATCATTTTGTCAAACTTACCAAAGTTCTGATTTTGGAGAAGACTGACACAGCAGAATACATATGCGAAGGTGTCATACAAGTCAATGACGAATTGGAACAAAATGTCGCGGAAAAAATATTTTTGACCGTGTTCGATCCAGTGTCTGTCCCGGTGTCAGTTACCATAAAATCTGGGTAAGTTTTGAGCCTGTAAAATCATTAATTCTCTATCATTACTGATTGAATAAGATCATAACAAAACATCATGAACTTGCCACTAAGTCTAGACCAATCGTGTTTTCTTTAAAGTTGCCTAATATGGTTTAAAATATTTCAGCTCAAAGATCACACATCCCAACTTTCCTATCACTTGTATAGTGAACGGAACCCCTGAACCTCACAAAGTGTTATTTAAAAAGCCAGACAATAGCACTTTGATATGGGACCGATATAGGTACAGGTTCTTTTAAAATACCTTATCAGACCTTATTTTGACGGACATTACTTGAACGCTGGAGGCCCTAGCGTTCATCTTAATGTCCGTTCAAATAAAGTCCGTTCAATTAATGTCCGTCCAAGTTAAAGTCCATTGAAATTATTTCAAAAATTTCGAACTTTTTGTCCAGAATATGACAATTTTTTTATTTCAGTCAATTTCAATAGCTATCATTAAACTAAACTATATCGTTGAATCAATAAAAACAAGGTATTATAAAATTTTAACAATGGATTTAAAAATCATTTGCTAAAATTAAAAGCGTCAAAAAAAGGATTAAAAAAAATTCGGAATTTTGATGGTTTTGATTGCCTTCTAGCGTTCATATTAATGTCCGTTCATAATTATGTCCGTTCAAGTAATGTCCGTCCAAATAAGGTCCGATAAGGTAATTAAAGGTTTTAGTACTCAAAGGATCGTTTTAAAGTTTTAAAGTGAGCTGAAAGTACGCGTGTTGATTGTTGAATAAAATTGATTTTGCTTCGTGTGGGGGGGGGGGGGGGGGGGCCAATGGCATAAATGGAGAAAATGGAGAATTACTCATAGGTTTTTCCATTTTCTCCATAGAAATAGTCTCCATTTTATGCCATTTTATGCCATTTTATGCCATTTTATGCCATTTTATGCCATTTTATGCCATTGAAAACCTGAAAAATTTAGAATTTCGAGAAAAATTATTTTAAAAAAAGATATTTTCGGCCAATAATGAACAGAGTATCATGAAACATGGAGAAAAGTGGTTTTCAGAAAAACTTTGAAAAATGTTGACTTAGAAAATTTTCGGTCAGAGTCATTTCCGATACGTACATCCCGTATCGAGAGCTCCCGATTCCGAGCTCGTGTTGCAGAGGGGAGGCCTGCCTTCCGAGATCGCATTACCTCGAGTCCAAAATTGTGTATCGAGGGGAAACAAATATTTTCGGCAAATAATGAACAGGGTAGCATGAAACGTGGAGAAAAGTGGTTTTCAGAAAAACTTTGAAAAATGTTTACTTACCTCGAGTCCAAAATTGTGTATCGAGGGGAAACAAATATTTTCGGCAAATAATGAACAGGGTAGCATGAAACGTGGAGAAAAGCGGTTTTCAGAAAAAATTTGAAAAATTTTGACTAAGAAAATTACCCCTCGGTACACAATTTTGGACTCGAGGCTTCCCCCTGGTAATGCGATCTCGGAAGGCAGGCCTCCCCTTTGCAACACGAGCTCGGAATCGGGAGCTTTCGATACGAGAGGTACGTATCGAGAATGACTCGGGCCGAAAATTTTCTAAGTCAAAATGTTTCAAAGTTTTTCTAAAAACCACTTTTCTCCACGTTTTATGCTACCCTCTTCATTATTAGCCGAAAATATTTTTTTGGTTTTTCGGTTTATCGAAGTCTGCACCTACCCCTCGATAGTCGATACACAAATTTGGACTCGAGGCTTCCCCCTGGTAATGCGATCTCGGAAGGCAGGCCTCCCCTTTGCAGTGCGAGCTTGTTTCGACTTTCGAGGATGTAGGTCTCACTTCTCAGTGCCTATTACTCTCCCCTATTACTCACTCCTGCTGTAGTAAAAAAAATTACCCCTCGGTACACAATTTTGGACTCGAGGCTTCCCCCTGGTAATGCGATCTCGGAAGGCAGGCCTCCCCTTTGCAACACGAGCTCGGAATCGGGAGCTCTCGATACGAGAGGTACGTATCGAGAATGACTCGGGCCGAAAATTTTCTAAGTCAAAATGTTTCAAAGTTTTTCTAAAAACCACTTTTCTCCACGTTTTATGCTACCCTCTTCATTATTAGCCGAAAATATTTTTTTGGTTTTTCGGTTTATCGAAGTCTGCACCTACCCCTCGATAGTCGATACACAAATTTGGACTCGAGGCTTCCCCCTGGTAATGCGATCTCGGAAGGCAGGCCTCCCCTTTGCAGTGCGAGCTTGTTTCGACTTTCGAGGATGTAGGTCTCACTTCTCAGTGCCTATTACTCTCCCCTATTACTCACTCCTGCTGTAGCCTGTAGAAATAACTTTACACTAGGCTTGAGTAATTATGAGTTTGCCTGAAGTGTGCCTCTACTAACCTAGTATAAGCATCTAGTAGCCTACTATGAGCTTTCATAAGCTTGTTACGCCCCTAGTAAGCGTAAATAAACATGTTAGGATGTCCAATTTAGGTGTTAAATGGTGTTAAAGATGAAATTTCGAAGACAAAATTAATGGCATAAAATGGAGAAAATGGAGAATTACTCATGGGTTTTTCCATTTTCTCCATAGAAAAAGTCTCCATTTTATGCCATTTTATGCCATTTTATGCCATTTTATGCCATTTTATGCCATTTTATGCCATTGGCCCCCCCCTTCGTGTGTAAATACTAGTCAATTATATATTTTTAATTTTGAGTGTTCAAAATGTCTGATTTAAAAATTCACATATTTTAAACTTATATTTTCAGTGATCGTATCGGTGAAACGGAACTGGAGTGTATTGGTTCCCCAGTCCTATATTGTGTTTATACGATCAGGAACCCTGGCTCCTCTTATGAAGGTACATGTTAAATGTATAATGTATATAATGTATATAATGTATATAATGTATATAATGTATATAATGTATATAATGTATATAATGTATATACATGTGAAACGGAACTGGAGTGTATTGGTTCCCCAGTCCTATATTGTGTTTATACGATCAGGAACCCTGGCTCCTCTTATGAAGGTACATGTTAAATGTATAATGTATATAATGTATATAATGTATATAATGTATATAATGTATATAATGTATATACATGTGAAACGGAACTGGAGTGTATTGGTTCCCCAGTCCTATATTGTGTTTATACGATCAGGAACCCTGGCTCCTCTTATGAAGGTTTACTTTTGTTTCGTGATGTATCATAATTTCTTATCTATCAGTTTTTTGCATACTGAGTACGTAGAACATTATTACTGAGTCTATCATTTTGCCATTTTCACCACTATAACTGCGCAATGTTGTTGTGTTTAAACTTTAAACTGTTATCCTATATTATTATGATGATCAAAGCCGAAATAGAGGTACAAGTTTCGAGCAAGTAATCAGTGGTGGATGAATTAAGCCTATATTTGCAGGGTGGTATGATTGCCAGGGTTTTAACCGATTTCCCGGAAGTAACACAGAACAGTATGACTTGGCACAAATTAGACTTACTGGTGGGTTTCGATAATTTCTTGTTTATCCTCCTCTTTACCTCGAATTATCGATTTCATTTACCGCCCATTTTAAACAGCTTTCACTTTCGCGAACGTTTTCCTGGACATTATATCTCATATTTATAAACACTAAATAGTCTGAGGTGTCTTAATCAATTAATCTAATTAACCAAATAATCAATTAATTTAATTAACCAATTAATCAATACACAAACACTAACAGGGAGCTCCTTCTGCACTAAATGTGCTGACGATGCTTTTTACCGTGGTCACCAGCTTGCAAGTCATGGTTGTTACAATTGTGGTTGCTTGGATGGTTCACGCCAATGTGGCTGCGAGCCGTACTGCCCTAATGTCCCTGCCCAGAAAGATGGTTAGTCTATTTGTTCCAGGATTTACATATTGTTTCGGTGTGAGTAAAATATATTCAATTAAATGGCGTAAAAAAGAAGATGAATGATCAAATTATATTACAGATATCGTTCAAATTCATTCCATTTTTCTTGTACATGCCGTGCTTTTGAGAAACATTGTCTTTGATTTGCAGATATCAAGCGCCAAGAGATACCCCTGCATTGGCAAATGGTTTCCCAAAGCAGCCACAACAACATTAGAATAGAGTTGGGACGGCAGCATGGTATAGATGAAGTTTCTATCAAACCTAATCAAAATAAGTACGGATCTGACCATTATGGTACTCTGCAAGTAATAGTGATGGACGGTAGAGAAGAATATATTTGCGGTACTTCTTCACTGTCCGCGAGTGACAGAACACACTACGGTGTTACTTGTAACGGAGTGATAGGTGATGCAGTGTATGTGACGATCAACTCCACCTATGATCATGATGCTGTCCTGACTATTGGGGAGATCAAAGTCTTCGAAATTTTCCGTACAGGTAAGGTTTTAGATACTGCGTATAATTTTATTGTTAAGATCGCACCTCGATTTGCCAAGAGTTTCATACTTTTTACAAAACATAAACCAATGGGCGAGTTTAATAATCATGATGCCGGCATTTGATCCAATGTGATATTACTGAAGCTAACATAGTTATATTTCTCAATTCTGTTCCTTTGTATACCAATGTTGTTAATTTCAGTGGACTGTGAACCTGGTTCTAATGGAACTGCTTGTCCTGATACATCCCCTGATGAGAATTCTGAACCCAAATGTGCTCTTCTTGTCATGAACGGAGAGTTTTCTAAGATCACCTGCAGTAACTTCACCGAGTGTACTTACTACTGCACGGACACCTCGATGAAGTTCACTGTAACGATGTCAGAAAGAGTGGAGGTGGTCTCTGAAATGGTGTTAACATGCGATCCAGCTACTTCACGGTGGTCACACGTGACCGATAAGAATCCTCTCGGCGACTTCCCGTCTTGCAGAGGTCAGTTGGCTGGGTCTTTTATTGACTTTCCACTGAAATCAATGCCCTTTAAACGGTTGATCTCATGGACTTCGTAATAATAATACCGACTTTTCAGCGATTCAAAGTGAAATTCCTGTTATCAAATGGGTTTCAACATTCTCTGCAACTAATGAAAACGACCGTCAATCTCGCTCGGTAGACTCTGGTCAGGACTTCTCCGCCAAATGCCCTTCCAACATAGGAGAGTCAGTTTTACTGAGTCTTCCTAGTCTAGGAGGAGTTATTGGGCAGTGCTTTGGGGAATCCCAGGAATCAAAGTTCTTTCCGTGCAGCTTCATGGAAATCGGAGTAAGTATGTCAGTATGTCGGTATGTCAGTATGTCAGTATGTCAGTATGTCAGTATGTCAGTATGTCAGTATGTCAGTATGTCAGTATGTCAGTATGTCAGTATGTCAGCATGTCAGTATGTCAGTATGTCAGTATGTCGGTATGTCAGTATGTCAGTATGTCAGTATGTTATATTGCACCGTTAATGCTTGCCATTAAAACAAGATATTTGAATTTATTTGGTTGTCATAATATAAGATTTAATAAAGCTGACACACAGAAATTTAATAAATTATAAAAACAGTTAACAATGTACTCTTCTAGGATGTTACGTGCGTGGTTTTAGATGACGGCAGCTTACAAATAACAACAGTTATTGAGTTCAATATCGGTTCCGAATCAGAAGATCAAAGCGGATCTAGCAAATATCTAAATATTATCAATGAAAATCTCAGTTCATCTCTTGGGGAGAGCGACTTTATTTTGACCATCGATGGAAAAACATTCAAAAGTAACAATGATCACACTATCGAAGTGAAAGAAACCTGCCAGCTAGGCCTGGTAAAGGTACAACTGACAAATGAACGCAGTATTTGCCGTAAGTTTCTTACAATTAGATATATTGTTTTAATGTTTCACCGCATAGGAGCTGGAAAACATCCTAATTTTTTCGGACACTTGGAATTCCGATATAACAATATTGTTTTCGTAATTTCAGATTTAATTTTCTTCAAAAATAAACACAACTAACAATCGACTACAATTTCCAGTGCCTTGTGACATTGGTCAGTTCCACAACTCCAAATCTGACACGTGTGACCCGTGTCCCCTGAACGAGTTCGGTAGTGACATTGGGATGACCGAGTGTCTCTCTTGTCCCGATGGTAGAATAACGCTTCGTGTTGGATCAAGACTGGACACTGACTGTGTCTCTCCCGCAGGTTTGTTTAACTTTAATATATCCTATTCTTGATTCCTCGTTCAACCTGTCACTCCGCCATATAATCATGTGTTTATGAACACTAAGCCTAGGGTCTCTCAAATTCCTTGTTTGATAAGAGATCACCTCGTTCCCCTCTTATCAGCTCCCTTTTGCAGTTTTAAATAATTTCCAGCCATGATTCAAGAAACGTCTAAACCTCCTAATTTTAGAAGTTTGCACGGTGAATGAAGAAGTTGGAGGGCGCAGATCGATCAAACCTGAAACTAAAGTGACAGCTGGTACCCTAATCCAAACGTTCTGTAGTGAGGGGTATTCTCTACAGATGGAAGGAAGGTCGGAGCAGACCTGTGCCTCCTTAAGATATGATCCAGGACAATGTCATGGTAATTGAATCTAATTGATTATAAACGATCCAATTGAATTACAAAATTTATAGTTAAACATGATTCTATTATCAGTAGTTCATCACGAGTATGAGTTTCATAGTTTCACCTAGTCGAACAGCTATGACAACTAATCCACTCAATCACCAATAATATAATCATGATCAATAACTACCCGGTTATCAGTCACTTCAATCACTTTTGGTGAGAGTTTTATCTTTCAGAGGTGTGCGAATTCACCCTGCCGGGAACTTATCCGGTCGACTTCTCCGATTTTACTACGGGTGAAGCATACACGGATAAGTTTCTAAGATATAAAGACACAGTAACATACAGTTGCTTAGCTGAAACTGGTTTCTTGACTTGTGAGGTGCCGGGAGACCAGATTGTTTTCTCGGAGATATGTGGTTTGAAAAATTAATTGTTCAACTGTGGACTTGTTAATGTTCTTGTTAACGTCTCGAATCAAACATTGCGATTTAAAATTTCTAAATTTTGTTCATTGTTGTTTCCCTTAAATCGCAAGTCACAACAACCCTTGTTTCAATTATGCGTTTTCAGAAAAGCCAGAAAAGCCCTCCAGTCCTGAAATATGTTCCAGTATCAGTGAATATAGCACAGTGTATGGTGATTACAGCTGGCCAAAGACAGAATCGAGTGCTTTCGCGATATCATTCTGCTACTATAACGTAAAGTGTTTTAATTGTGATTTTGATTTGATGATTTTCACTGAATAATCCTTAATATTCCTACAAATAATCCTACAAATAATCCTACAAATATTAGCGATCATTGTTTGAATGCAAATTTCCATGATTGATGATCAGTCACCAAATATTGAAATATTGTGTTTACATTTTAAATCAACAATCATGTTTCGTACAATCGTAAAACTTTCTGACATTAATAATTTCAGAAAGATTCATATGCTCGTAAGTTTTGCTCAGAGACCGGCTTTTTCGAAGATACAGATTTTTCCTCCTGTCCTTCTGCAGTTTCAAATGACATTAACGACATCCTTAAGGTAATAATCATGATAATGGGGTCCTGCCATTTTTCTTTTGACAGGATTCTTAGTAATATTAGACTAAACATTTCCAAAAGAATTAACCTAATAACTAATAAGTGCGCCGCCCAACATCCCTCTCAAATTACTGTTCGTATTGCAGGAAGTTCAACTTCAAATTATGACAGAGGGCACACAGGACTCCATATCTGATAAAATCAAGGATACCACCAGTGATTCAGCAGAACAAATGAGCTCCGCAGACGTTCAGAGTACTGTACAAATAATTGACGAAATCCTTGTTGCTCCTGATTTAGAAATATCAGATGCGACCCTTGACAACCTGATAGCGACGGTGGATAACGTCCAAACGAACACAGAGGTGGATGAATTGAGAAAGGATGGTACAAGTGACAAGTTAAGAGAATCAGCCGTGAAGATTGTTAGTGAGATTGCTGATCAAGGGACAAATACTTTCAAACCTTTGAACTCTGTCGGTGAGTTTGTGATTCTGTAGCCGGTTTTACGGGTTTGTTCCTCATAGCACTAGCAGCACAATTTACAAATGTGCGCCAGTTTTAAGTTTTTTAAGGGCACTTAATGATTGTTTACACCTTTTTAAAATTACAGTCTCGTTATAAATAGATAGACTTCAATAGAAATGTTTTCAATCGCACATTTAATAACGGGAATAGCCCACGAATAGGACACGACTTGTTTTTCATACAGATAATAGCCATATTACATTTCTTGAATAGGGGAGTACTAAATATGAACTAGTGATCCATGCCACCACGTGCTTTGTAACCAAGTCCCCGTTTTTTCAAGGTTTCGCCGTTGCTTCGGTGAGTGAATATGGGGATACACCGGAAAAGAAAAACGTTTTGGTACTTGCCGGTAATACCAATGTTATACAAGGAAGCACAAACAAAGACGGTGCATATGATACATTCTTTAAGGTGAGTTCTGTTCCTGTTTCTGAATGCTTGCAGAATTTATAGTATAGAAGCTTTTTTTAAATCTTAGGGCAAGAAGTTTTCAATCTTTACCGATCCATATGATCCATATCCAATGATCCATTCCCAACCAGGCTGAATTAACAACAGAAGGAAATCATGTGGCAACTGCAGTGTACTACGAAACAGACAAATCATTTCCTTCCAATGCAATATCTCCAAGATCTTCAGCACAGGACGCATTCGAAACAATTGCTCAGAGAATATCCGAGGATCCCGAAGTTAAAGCGCAGGCTGATGAGTTTAAAGCTGAAGAGGAAGTAAGTGACATTGATAATACGCAAAATTTGATTTTGTATTGCAGGTTTTTTCTTCGTGTGCTCGTGAACTTCCTTTTAAGTAATAACTATTATAGGTTTCGTTGGTTGCGACTGTTATTTCGGATATCAACATTGTGGACTTGGATAATTCGGGCAAGAAGATACCATTGGGTCCAGACCAATCAGTCAATATTAGCTTTACAGTGAAGGTTAGTTAAGATATTAGCTTTACAGTGAAGGTTAGTTAATTCTGATATCTGGATATTATCCGGTTTGAAGAGACAAGGACAAATGACACAAGGAAGTTAGGAGTAAAAAGCTTCTGCTCCCTGATAACTAATAGCTAATCAACTCAGGATGAAACTGAGCTGAAAGTGCACAGCTTTACGAAACGGAAAACTCTAGTTAACAGTCAACTTAAATGCAAATTCTACGAAACATTAAATACAAGTGAGATTTAGGATGATCAAATTGTTGATACAATTTTTCAACTTAAAAAAAACTGGAAAGAAGTTTGTAACTTAATAGTTGATGAATTATTTAACTTAACAACTAATTTCAGCATGGAGTGATGCAGGTTGTTTTACCGTTACAAGCTACAATGAAATAAACAAACAAACCGATGTCACTTGTTTCTGTGATCATTTGACTAGTTTTGCTGTTCTCATGGTAAATCCGTTTATTAAATTCAACACAACAAATTTCAGTTCATGTGACAAACTTAGGACCATTTTCGATGACTAATAAATTGGGTTTTAAAATGTATGCAACCCGTCAGCGTTCTCGAAAATTTAATTTACATCGGTATTTTTCAGTCGTTTACGAGCGAGGAAAACTATTTAGAGGAGCTAGTGTCCCATATTCTGCTGGGAATCAGTCTCTTCTGCCTTCTTCTGACTCTTGCTGCAACCCTTCCCAACAAGTTCACACAGATAAGCTTCGAATATAGAATCTTTCTGATAAGCTTGAAATTTCAATCCTACTTAACACTCTCTTATCAAGGAAACGTATTCCGCTTTTGATTATTTAATCAATAAATATCTTGCCAGCCTCACACTCCGCCGCAACTAATAAATATTACTTTCTCAGGAAAAGTTTGAAGATGAAGTCAACGCAAGTAAATCTCATGCTTGTCTTATCTCTGATTATCTCTATTGTTTGCTTCTACCTGATGGACTTGTTCGTTGCTGCAGAGGAGAATGCTAAACCTAGCATTCCTTGTTCTGTTGTGAGTTTATGTAATTATTATTATATTATTATATCATTACATTTATTAATCTGTCGTAATCTGTAATGTTACCTCTAAATTAGTTTAGTCTTTAAACCAACAATTATAAATGTGGCTCTGAGAGTTTAAATTTCAGGTGGCGTTTCTTCTGAACTATTTCTGGCTATGTCAGCTAAGTTGGATGATAGTAGAAGCAGTTACAATGTACATAGCTCTTATAAGGGTGTTCGGAACCTACATTACACAGGCTCTGCTAAAATACAGTATATTTGGATGGGGTGTTCCCCTCATGTTTCCATTAATTGGTCTAGTGTGGGGACGTGTACAGAGTGGGGAGTATACAGAGTATGCTGATCCCAAAACGTGAGTTTACTTTTTTGTCCTTTTAACATTTAAGAGGTTATTTCTTTTTTTGTTGTAAGTACAATCTATATCTTGATCTATATTTATTTCTATATCTGTACTTTATCTAAAATGTACATAGGTCCACTTATATTATGGATATTTATATGAAAATTTAGAAAACTGAAGCACAGCTAAATTATTATTTGCAGGTGTTTTGTAAAGTACCCCTACGGACTAGTGACCTTCTATGGCCCTGTTGTGCTAGGTGTTGTAGCAAATTGGATAATGTTCACCTTCATTGCACGGGTTATTGTGAAGGCTAACAAGACCAAAGCTCAGACAATTGTCAAAATGAGAACCGTAAGTTATTTAAGCTATTTAAGCTATTTAAGTTATTTAGGCTATTTTATTTTCTAGGGTTCAAATTTTAAAGGTTTGTTGAATCCAAAATAAAGTGCGTCGAAATGAAAAAAAAGGTAAATTTTCATAATACAACAAGTTTATTTGAATCAACACCTTTTCAGAAACAACTCCAATCAGCTCTAGCAGTTTCAACTTTGCTCGGATTGAGTTGGATCATAGGATTCTTCCTTTTAATGAACAGTTTGAACTACGGTAAAATCAGTATCGTGTTCAGATGGCTGTTCATAGTATTAAATGCTCCACAAGTAAGAGAATTTCTGTACCTTTCCTCTCGTATTGAAGCTTTCAGTCCACTATTCATAGTTGTCCATACATGTTACATATGTACGTTGTAACTTGTAAATAATTTATGTTAGAATCTATGTTAAGATAAATTAAACCATAACTTTGATTATTGAATCTAGTTGAACCGGGAGAAAAATAATTTTAGGTATCTGCAGGTTGTAAAGTATCTCTTTTATTATTCACCATATTTTAATTTCAGGGTTTTTACATATTTCTCTTCTACGTTGTTTTGAAGGAGGACACTAGAAAATTCTGGCTGAAAAAATTCAACTGCACGAACAAGAAAAGTTCAGGGATATCAAACAGTGGTACTGGCTCAAACGAACAAGGTACAGTGCAAGTTAGGTCATAGGTAAATAGTTGGTATGACTCTATTTAGCGGGGTAACTCTAGCTCTATTCAGTATTCATGCACATGCCCATTTGGCCAAATGTTGAGGAATAAATGGGCATATATAATATGCCCATTTTTTGGTTTTATCCGTCTATTTAACACTGACAGCAGTCTTTTAACTCTTCGATCAAGAGCACTTTATGATATTCATATTTAGCTGCAGAGCTGAGTTTTCAAACTTGATAGCTCACAACGTTTTCAGGTCGGAAACAGAAGAAACTAAATTCGCGTGTCATTTCAAACCCAATGCTGAGTACATCGTTAAACAGCTCGACCCTGCAAAACTCTCCTATCTTATCTGCCCGTCCATTAACTAAAATTAACACTGCCAACAATCAGTTGGCAACTGAAAGTTCCTTCACCATGGACCCTATTTGTGAAGTTCAAATGCATGTGTTCTTCCCTGAGCCTCTGGAAGAGAGCGGAGATGACGAGCAAATTTATTGCATCCCCGACGAACTCAATTTGGATCATCCAACCACCCGGCAGACTACCTCATTGACTTCAGGGGACCCCATAGTAGTAAACAATACTTATCCTATTGTGGGTACAGAATATGAAGCTCCAGAAGAGAATTTGTATGCAGACATGAATGAACTGTTTGCAGAAAATATCTACGCAGATAATGAGCATTCTGCAAGTGCTGAAATTCATTTTTATGCTGATAACAAGCCAGCTGTGAGCGTGGCTAATACGGATAGTGTCCCACCGGTACCAGTGGTACCAGTACCACCGGTACCAGGGGTACCAGTACCACCGGTGGTCACAGTACAAATCGCTGAAGCGGACTCAGATTCCTCAGATTTAGAATCTGAATGGGACAGTGTCAGCTCATATTCAGACCCAGTGTATTCAGATCTTCCAGATATCATTTCAAAACGTAAGACTCACAAGAAAATGAGATCTATTAAAGCAGAAAAAGAAAACGACGTCAGTTTTATACCACGAGGATACCCAACCCAACTCACCATCGGTCACAAAAACGATCAGTAAGTTCGGTCCTCAGATATTTTACTCCGTTTATTGCCTTTGTTCATTGAGATTGATTAATATTGTTATTGGTGATTGGGAAGGAAAGAGACTTACTTGAATCTTTTAAAATCTATTCGGAATCAGTATTCATTATCACATAAAATTTGTCTGAACATAAATTTGCCCGTATTAGTTGTTGGACACAGTTTAAGTTGAACACTCAGTAATTATTTCTGCAGTTTTGAAGGAGAAGACGAATTGAATTCAGAGTGTTCGAGTAGTAGCAGCGCCAGAAATAGCATCGTCATCATAAACAAACATGGAAACTTTTGTGAGGTATAAGACATCAATTATTTGTCATTGTGTTCAGCGAAATGTAAACCTATTGGAGTACTTATGCTTCATAATTTTATTGTTTTACTAAACTAAGTTTGTTTTAAATATTCACTTTGACACACTGATTGCTGATATTTTGTTGTAGCGTACTATTCACGAAAAGAAAGACGACACGATAGAAATAAAGTTGAACGAGCGATTAAACATGGTAGAACTTGAGGGAGAATCATATTCACTTTCAGGAACTGATTGCTAGGCTGACTGGAAGTAAAGAAGGATATGGACAGAGATATTTCATATTTAGTTAATCTAGGTGTTTAATGTCAGCTTTAGCCTAATCTAATGCATTATTTTATATGCAGCTGCATGATCCAGTTAATTAGGGTTGCATACTACGAATTTTAATCAGTTAACTTTTATTTCAACAATTTGATAAACCTGTTATCTTTAGTTTTACTTTTAACAGTTGAGGTGACAATGTGATCACTGATCAATGATTCATTTTTATTTTTAGATATTCTAAATAAATTTAAATGATTGGATTTTTATTTTTAGTATTATAGAGGAAAAAAGGCATGATTTTTTATTTGGTTTTTTAATTTTTCCTTTCCGTCTCTCACTCTGAAAGAAAACAAAGTTTTTTATTTCGTAATAAAACCTTATAATACATAATACAAGAACATTTAACATTATCATCAAAACAATTGGTTCAATCAGTCGCATTGTCGCAAGTGTGCAGTGTTAGATCCAACATCAAATTAAATTTAAATTTACAAACTTCTGGGTAAAATCTTGCAGGTGTATAACCTACCAAGACGCGCGCCGAGTTGGACTCGTCGACGGTCTAATATTTGAAACAATTATTTTACAAGTATCACCTACAGATCGCCTTGCGCGATGTTATTAATATTACGTAATCTATGAATGCATGAATAAAAATATAATTGAATAAGGAAAATGAATGCTGAAAAAGTCAAGTATTAGGTTCATCTTTAAAATATTCCATCGAACGATTCTCATTCAGAATTTTCCATAAATTGTAATATTAAATTATATTAACTAGTACTACTAATAATCTAACATTTAATCTAATAACACTAATAAAGGCTAGCGTACTAAAATTCAATTTAATTACAGCAGTTGTTCCCATTAATTTAAAGTAAACATTAAGTACATTTACAAAAGTAAGGATTACGCCAATAATAAAGATAAGAATTTTTAATAAAACGGTAAATAAACAAGCATTAATAAATGTATAGTCCGACCTTCAGTTAAATTGCAACAGAAAGTCAAGGTTAAAACATATAATATATATATACTACAATAGCTGATTCTTCGCTTGCGATCAAAATGAAATCATAAAATGAATATCAACTAACAACTAAGCGATGAATAGTGAACTTAAGAAAGGAAAAAACATCTAAAATGCTGAATAAGCCCAAAAATCTGCTAATAAATTACGAGAGACCAGCTCAATAATAACCATACTATCTGAACGCAACACTCTGCGCGCCTGACACTACCGGCTCATCATAATCTGTCATTAATTATTTACTTCTGCTAATTACTCAATCAATTACTCAATTAATTCAGCTCCTGCTGTTCAAGTCCAGCTGATCGTGCTCCACGAGAGTGTGCTGTCCAGAATTGAAGAAGTCATGCGGAGTATTGTTTGGAGGACCCCACTCATCGCTCTCTGGGGTCTCGTGGCGCTGGGGTCGGGTATCCATGTCACTCTCGTCATTTGCACTCTGAGTTGTGGCGTTTGGTTAGTGGTTACGGAAGGTAAACATGTGTTTTAGTTGTGATTCTCGGCGCTGTGGGGTCACGTGCTATGTTTAATATTGTAGTCAAATTGGGAATTGGTGATTACGTATTTATGCATGTAACACTATAACCGTAGTTAATAACCGTAGTTAGTAACTATGGTTATTGGTTATTGTAAGGTAAGACACCTTACAAAAGAAGCCTCACAAAATATCGGCGGATACAGATAACCCTAAACATGCACCCTCAGTAATGGATACAGATAACCCTAAACATGCACCCTCAGTAATGGATACAGATAACCCTAAACATGCACCCTCAGTAATGGATACAGATAACCCTAAACATGCACCCTCAGTAATGGATACAGATAACCCTAAACATGCACCCTCAGTAATGGATACAGATAACCCTAAACATGCACCCTCAGTAATGGATACAGATAACCCTAAACATGCACCCTCAGTAATGGATACAGATAACCCTAAACATGCACCCTCAGTAATGGATACAGATAACCCTAAACATGCACCCTCAGTAATGGATACAGATAACCCTAAACATGCACCCTCAGTAATGGATACAGATAACCCTAAACATGCACCCTCAGTAATCATCCGTTAACTCTAATTATCTGTTATAACTTTGTAGTATTGTAGTATTTATTATTATGTTTGTAGTATTGTAGTATTTATTATTATATTTGTAGTATTGTAGTATTTATTATTGTATTTGTAGTATTGTAGTATTTATTATTATGTTTGTAGTATTGTAGTATTTATTATTATATTTGTAGTATTGTAGTATTTATTATTATATTTGTAGCATTGCAGTATTTATCATTATATTAATTACTATATTTGTAGTATTACTGAAAGTATTTAAGTAGAGGCTATTAACCTGGTTGCCCAGTGCATATGAACTGTAGGTGGAGGAGAAGTTGTGGATGTAGTCGTTGACCATGTATTTAGGGTTCAGCGTGTCGCGGATGTTTGTGCTCAATGTCTGCCTTCCTGATGCCTCGTTCTGAAAAGTAAAATTGTTAGCACGAAAATAAGCAGTGATTTAGATGGCCCTACCATAAAAAATAAATGCACGTATAATGTTTATCTTCGTTCGTTGAATTGAGTTGACTTGAGGAAGCTTCATTTTTTTAATCCTCGCGATCTTACTGTTTGTTTAGTTATTAAGTTTGATCAAGATGAAACTTCAAATTAGGTTGGCACAGGTGTGAGCTTCATTCTGTGTGATATGATCACAAGGCTTGAATAAATCAAATTTCAGGCTCATCGATCTAGCAAATATCGACAAATACCGAACACAATCGTTAGCATTCGTCAACATATTGGGGCCCGGAAATGATGTATTATAATACAGGAGGTGAAACTGAGCCGAATACCTAATATAATTTGGGGTTTCTCTAGAAGATAAACATCATATAACAATCACCACTTATATCACTTATTAATCACTACGTATCACTTTATCTGCACGGGTAGGAATTCACCCTGCAACGGTAGATTAGTGTGCCCTGTTATGCTGACATATAATTTGTCTTTTGTGCCACTGATTCTCTAGTACAGTCTTAGCTTTTACATAATATCATGGGCAATGATGTTGTAGGATGATTTAATTTAGGCAACGGGTCTCTTATTACATAGTTTATTTGTTGGACCAATTTTACATTCAATGTTTATTACTTTGAATTTACTTTGAATTGCGAAACTATAGATGAACTAAAAATTATTCAATCATTGTTTTATTATTCGTGCTGAATGAATTTCTTGTCCGACATTTTGGTGCCCAACATTTTTATTCTAAGATACCTTAAAATTAAACAAGGATGATAGTGACAACAGCTAAATCATGTCATAGCAAGGATATAACCCAACAGTCTTTATATTTTTAAAAAACATATTAAAATCATATTAAAAAGCTTAATTTTACCTTGTCATACACGGTGCAAGGGAAAGCTACCCTGAGTAAAAAGGCGGATATCAGCATCTCCACACAGATAAAGAAGTTCTGCCAACTGGCGGATATCTGCCCTGTTGTAATGACTACTGTTTCAGCGCTGTTCGTCGTGGCTTTTATAACGTTTATCAGCTCCAGGAATGATAACATCACACCTGAGGGGTTTATTTATTTTAAGCTTCATTGTGAATAATATTTTAAATATGTATTAGAATATAGGACACGTCTATATATATAAAGAATGTTAAATATAGAGCCTGTTTTTAACGAGCACTCAATCATGTGCAACGTTAATAAATAGTTCTGATATGTTCACTTAGAATTTTTTAACCGTAGAAAACTATGCCTAATTGGCGGGATTTTTGCAAAAACATCTTAACCTACATCTTAACCTGCATCTTAACTCTGGTCTCTGCCTGGTAACTTAATATTAGCAAATCTGTGTAGACAGCCGATAAACTACACGTACATGGTAAGATAATCTTTAACATTTGCACTATGAGGTTGGGCGGAACGAAGGATTGATGTTATATAAGTATACTAATGAACATCGTTTAAGGCCAGAGGGGGGGGTAAGGGGTCAAAAAATTCTACCAAAATATTATTTTCTAAATCGATTTAATTTTTGATGACAAAAACATTGCTGCTATTCACATATTTGTAGCTGATTAAATTTATTTTATAATTGAGGTTAACCGATTTTCACAAAATTGACTATGCAACATTGAGGTTAATAAAATTGAGGTTAAAATTTTATTACACGCCATAATTTTTTGTTATTTCGGTCAGCAAATGTAAACTCTAAATTTTAGGTTCATAATTATCAGAAAAAGTAATATCCAAACGTGATTAAATGAGGTTAACCTCTTCGTTTAGATATAGCGAGAATAGATCAAATGATAGAGTTATTATTTTCATCGTAAGTTTACGGTATACACATTTCCAAATAGATGACGTGTTGATTGACTTTCTTTTATCTTGGAAAATGAAAAAAATGAGGTTAACCATCACATTTTGGTACCGTAGGGAATATACATACGATTCTTACTTATGTAATGTACCACAATATCGAAGTGAGGTATCTATTGGTATCACAATGCCTACAACTATAATCACGTGACAAAGGTGATTTGAACTGACCATATTTTAGTAGAAGATTTTACCCGTAAATGGCTAAAAAATGAGGTTAACCTCTCATGTTTTGAATATCTGACCAGTCAATTACATGTTAACCTCAAAAACTTAATCGTTATACTGTGCAAATGTTTTACTACACATATAATAACATATTGATAAACCAATCCCAGTGTTATATGGTCTAAAGCGAGGTTAACAACCAAATTTTAAGCAGTTAGTGTTTACAGGAAGTCTTGGTTAACCTCATTTTTTACAATACAAGGACATTAACTACTGAAAGTGGCTAAAATCATTTAGGGGACGGCCAGGTCTGATCAAGCAAACGTTATTAAGTGTATAAAAAGTCCTAACTAACGAACTGTGATACATTCCAGTGAATATTCAAAATTTTGAAAACACTAAATTGCATCTATCTCAAAACACATTCTGTGACTTCCAGTTCCTTAGTTGAGAAAACCAACCACCCCCTGATATTGAGATTTGGTACAGTGGTTCCTTGGACAAGTATCTAGACATTAGATGCAGCGATTTTTTTTATTCGACTCGTTTCTCGAATTATGAGGTTAACCAGCTAAATTTGTCGAATTTTTGACATGGTTAACCTCATAATTCAAGAACCGAGTCAAATAAAAAAAATCGCTGCATCATAAATGAGGATAATTGTCCAAGGAACCACTGTACCAAACCTCAAGATCAGGGAGTGGCCAGTTTTCTCAACTAAGGAATCGAAAGGTCAAAAAAGTTACAGCCGTTTAAAGATCCAGTTTAACATGTAATTACAGGTAAACCTCAAAATTTAGCGCGCGATATCTCAGGAACGCAAGGTCAGATTTTGATCCGGTTTTTTTCTTCTTGTTCGTCTCCAGCAGCTATTATCAAATATGTGAAAACTAGAAAAGTTCCATTTACCCCCCCCTCTGGCCTTAACATCACTTTTTTAAATTTTTAATGTTATTTAGATTAAGTTCTTTAATATTATTTTGTTAATCCGAGGTATATTTCCTGTTTATATAAGAATGAACCCGGAACTGTTCTAAATTTCCTTAATCCCATTGCTATGCTACATCTTATGACCATCCAAACACGGAAGTCGCAACTTTTGCATTCAAGCGCAGACATTCACCTAGATAATGTAGCATATTTCAGAGCGATACCCCGTTTGATGGGGCTCCCAGTGAAATTCTTCAATTCTATTTTCCAGAGCAATTCGGTCAGGTATTTCAGTTTTCACTGTTCGATGGAATTAATATATAAGTTAATATAAGTTTGTAATGATATTATACATCTTATTATAAACTTATATATTTACACGTACTATGATGGATATTTTATGTGAGTATGTTGCGTCTAGTTCATTTTGTTATGTTCCTCCGTTCCTTCGTCCTCCATGTTCAAGTCGGCTAGAGACGGAACACAAACAGCAATCATAACTTTGGTAATTGTTTTAGTAGTAGTACTGACTAAGGTCCCATTTCTTCGTTAGAGTATCTAACTTTTAATTTTGTTGCTATCATCGGCCAATGTAAAATCATGAGGCTAATAAAGATTTCATGCGGTGTCTGTTTTACACACACATCATTTATTACGGATAAATCCTTTCCACATAAGTATCAATATCATCCATTCAGCCGGAGCAGCCCCTAAATCACGTACCTTACATCTTAGCAGTCCTTACCACATACCACGTACCATTAACATTCTTGCCATTCTTCTGAGTTACTGAACTTGTTGGTCAGTGTTCCGTGTCATTAATATATTACATCTTTATATTGATGTAAATATAACAGTGGTCGTTGTTGATGTAACTATGTTAAATATAACAACGATCAACATTTTGCTGAATTGCCTGTTTCTTTGTTTTATATTGATTTTATTGTTCAGGAATTCTTTCAATTCCATGAGATACATACTAGCGGTCCGGCGTGGTCGTTGTTAATGTTGCAATTATCATCATTGAACGCCAGTTTCATTGAGCCTTTATTGACTAACTACAATATTTTAATTTGTCTAAAATTTTGTTTCCTAATCACAGTCTACCTAATTCTATTTACGTTCTCTTGCGATGAAAACATTTTAGAATTCAAGAACCCGATCCGGCGTATTTATTCGCCTCTCCGACCAAAATTAAGTTACATCGAACAATAATAAAACACATTTTTCACTTAATCAGTTAATATGCGACACATTTCTAATCTTATCCGCCGTAACATGAACCTTCAATTACTTATTCTCACTTGTAACTTTAAAAGTCTTAAAACCGTATATTTAAAATCGTCTCCTTGAAGTTTACCATGCCCAACATTATCATTCCTCTTTTATTGAACCGTGCACGTTTGGTCATTATATTTGTCAGTGATCGTTCCATAATATAAAACATAAGCGAGGTGCTAAATTCCGTTCCATTTTTCGTGTTAAATACATTGTTTGTCTCTTTTTTGGTGCTCTCATTTTTCATGCCAGAAAACACTCGAAGTAATCATGACTTATTCCTATTTCAGGTCAATCATACAAACTGAACTTTCTTACAAAATGCTACCACGTGTCGTATTAGCCTGAGCAGTAGCTAAACCAATTTAATATTCTAGTAGTAATAAGATCCTACTATTGTAGTTATCCAATATCTTACAATATTCATCAGTCATCAGCATAGATCGTCAAATCATCATCGAGATTGCAAAACAGTCGCTGTGAGTGCCAAACAATATATTGTTACATACTTAGTCTATTCCATAGTGATTGTCATTCACAATTGTCCAGAGAACCGGATATGATCATTTTCCAGGGCATAAAATTAACAAACGGTAGATCTTGTAAAAAAGAGTCATGATGGTGAATTCTAATCGCAATTCAGAACAACTTGTTGTTCAGAACATTTGATCTCAGGTTACTGCTTTTTACTTAATTCCCGAGAGAAAAAGAGTCAATTAAGATAAAAACATTTTAATTGACTCTTTTTCTCCCGGGAATTGAGTATCAACCACTGAACCACGGGCACTGCGGTGCCTATAATTTTGGATAGATGAAACTAATATAATCCTTAATTTGATATTATCTTAAATTCCACTATTAATAAAAACGCTTAAATAGATTGGAAACATGGTTGAATCAAAGATGACAGCATTCCAAGAACTGGCAGCAACCTACCGAGCTAGATTTGAAGAATGCAAAAGTCTACTTGAAAACGAAACTGTCAAAGCTTTGCCGTTCCTTCAAGAAGATTTGGAAACGCTCGTGAATCTAACAGAATTAGCCGGTACCATACTGCAGGAGGATATAGAAATTGCTGTGGACGACAAGCATTCTCTGAGCATCGTAAGCAAATGGAACAAGTCAAGATTTTCTCCGATGGCGTTGGTACATTATTTGGATGGCATTAAAGAGAACATCAAGAAGGTGGAAGGTTACATCGCTACTGCTAAAGCTGAAGGAGTTGAGATACAAACGGGCGATTTAATTGAAAACAATCTAAAATCTGCAGATGATGTGTTCATTTCGTTCACCTTCAATATCGGGGCGTTCAGAAATGAAGATCTGCATCATGCCTACCGTTGTCTTGGTGACGACGATTTTGTTACCAAGACACCGTTTGAACCAAAAACTGTTGACCCAATGAACATAATCAATGAGCGGGCGAACTTGCCTGATGGATTTGATTTATTTGTTCTCTACTCCACGGAAAATAGGAAAGATTCAAACAAAAGATTTGCCATCTCCAACAGTTCTAAATGCCCTGATGGAAGCCTCGCTTACACACGCATTCTCAGCAAAAACAGAGGTGAAGAGAAGTTGGAACTTCCAGGGAAACCAAGCAAACCCATCTATGTTGAGAATTCCAAAACAGTCAACTCCCTCAAGATCGAGCTAATCCCCTCAAATGCTGGTGAACGAAACGTGACGGGATACAAGATCTTGATCTTCGAGGTGGGCTCCTTGATCAAAACCATAGAAGAGCCGAAAATCAATCCAGGGTCATCAGAATTTCTTGTCGAAGATCTAAAGCAAGGGATGGAGTACTCATTTAAAGTTCAAAGTGTGTCTCCGGCAGGATGTTCTCCAAAAAGTGCCATGAGTGAGAAGATAATGATCGACGTTGGTGTGGTTTACAAAGCATCTCGTGGAATTCGTCTCTCATCTGGTTCCTAAAAAAGGCCTCTCGTACGTACTTTCCTTGGCTTTCAATTGAGGATTCGAAACTTTTAAACTAATGACCGGACATATAGCAAGACTTTGTTTGCGCTACTATTTTTTTACGTTGTCATTCTTTTGAGCGGAGTGGGCCAATGATTGATATATTATGTTTGGTCTAAAACTATTTAGTTAATTCAAAGACTACTCAAAATAACTCAGCCTGTTGGAAAATTGTACAAGTTATAAGTGTTATCAATCATCAGCTATACGAAAGTTTTTTGTTTGGTTACAAGATTTCGTAGCATGTTTCATCTCTTTCGTATTTTTGTCTTTAAAGTGAATAGTCAATTGTAAATCATACTTTTACTTCAAGCAATACAAATTAAATTGTAGTTCCAATTCACCGAGGGCTGACTGCAACGGTCGTCTAAAAACAAAACTTTCGGGGCTTGATTAATACTTTAACAACAAAGAAAAGCAATATGGCATACAATTTTTTGGTCGTAGAAATTCAAATGAAATAAATTCTCCACCTTATTAAGCGATCGATGCCTCTTAGCTCTTAGAAACACAGCAAACAACCAGTAGGATTTTAACCATAGAGTATATCCTTGGACGCGAGTATTTAAACCTTCAGTACTGAAAATTTAGTACCTCGTTTCAAGATAAATGGGCCGGGTTGTACTCAAAATTATATTTACGTTAGTTGACGAATTGTTTTTAAATTAGGAACTGGTTATGCAATGTTATTAAGCTATTTTAATTTAATCCAGATAAACGCGCACTCGTGCGTACATGCGCGCTATCATCATGAGTGAAGCAATGCGTCCTCCAAAAACAGCAAACAACTACTGTGACCATTTCTGACCTGGCCAATAGTTTAGTCGTGATCAACTTTGTAATTACAGAACACGTGGATTGCAGTACAAGATTGGAGTGCATGAAAGAACAATACCATGCACAATGCTTCAACTAAATGATCGTCAGAGGCGCAGAGAAGACCCCCATCTTCAGGGTGGGCCAGATTCACTTGTATTATACACTGTATACTGAATGTTGAATGAGACTAAAGGGAAAGCTTGCTGCAATCATACTACATTTAGAATTACAGATCAAATTTGGACAAATTACAGTTTATTCTCGGAAAACATGGACGATAAATTGTGGGAGTGGTTGAGGGTTTCTTATTGCTGGCAAAATTTGACACCTTCTAAAATTTACTTACCTAATAAATAATATGTTATGATAAATATTAGTATATATCTCTTGGAATCTTACCTTGCCAAAATGAAGCGAATATTATTGCCTTGACCATAAAGAATTTTAACACGGGGTCGTGTGGCTTTAGAATCTCTCTAGTCGCCAAGTAGAATAGTACTAGAGCGTAGAGTGCTAGCGTCACGCTGATGTTGTAGATTATAGTGACGTATAGGTATCCGTATCTGGGTAGTGATTTGATGTGTTATTTTAAGTTTTATGTTAATATATCAGTAGATGTGTTTTAGAAAATATCTTATTTTGAATCTACATGCAAGACAATATTTCGAAAATGTTAAATTCCCCAACTGAATCAAAGCCCGAAAAAGTGAATGATAACATAAAAATCACACAAAGATTTGAATCTCATTTACTTTGGATGTAGATTGTTTTCGTGAAATTGGTCGTTTGCCTCCAGTATAATAGTAATCAGTGATACAATAGGCTTTACGGCACAAAACTGGAGAGTGCTTTGCTTGCAGAAACGCAGAAACTGAAAAATTATATAAAATTTTCTGAATTGTTAATGATACACACATTACTGTAGTATTACAGTTGTAGTTGTGGTTTCACTGGTTTGCTAACCATATTATGCGGTCTCTAGATATACGTGTGAAAGAATTGCACTTTTCAGTAATATACATATATTACTTAATATTTAATAAATCAAAGGACAAAGTGCTTTTTTTTTTATTGAAAGCTGTATCAAAGTGCCTGGATAAGTTCATAGTTCTAATCTTTCAATATGGAAGGGGTTGTACGCAGCTTGCAGTCCGTTGCTATACTATATAATAGCTATTGCCTATTATATATTATATAAATATGACTGTATGTATATTAATATATACTATCATATTTAATGTTAACAGTCAGAACATGATATCTATAGTCTTTACATACAGATTTAATTAAATCTTTAGTCAAGATACTGTCAGAATGGTGTCAGGCTAATGGAATGTTGTTATACATTGTACATTGTACAGCTAAAACGTGTGTTGTAAGCAAACAATGCACTTCAATTGTTGCTTCTTCTTTAGTTCATATTGTAAAAACAATGCTACAGTACAAAAGATAATTAATATGTACATTGTACATTGTATACATTGCTCATTTGCTCCCACATACAGAATGTTTTAAATTTTCCTCGCAGTCCCACCCTCCCCGCTAAAAGTCAAATCTTCTAAACAATTTCCTCTTTGGCACCAAATTCCCTCTCAAATCCAACATTCCTTGCAGTCGTACTGCTGTGTTTCTGGATGTGGGATATTGCTAGAGGCAAGCAAAAGTGTGTTCTACTCTACTGTGTGTTCTTTCAGTCTAGAAATGATTAATAAATGAAGTTGTGAAAGAGACGGGGTGTGCTCTTGCACATGGTATATTACAGTTAAACAGCATTTTGTGCACTACGCGTGGGTCGTGTATTTCATTACTTCTTTTGTTCAAGCTGTCTTCAATCATTGGATATCCTTCATTGTCCCTGTAAGCACTTATCCGTGATGGCTAATGCAAGGTTTATCACACAACTAGTGACCAAATAATTGCGGTTATTTGCGATTTATTAACAGTTACTATCTTCACAGTAGCAAGGGTCACAAGGGTGACAAGGGTCACATGTGACCCTTGTTAAAAGTAAAAGTACAATATGTACAATGTATACTGTATCTTCATTCTTCAATACATTGTAGTTACACGGTTCAAGTAAAATCATAGAGCATTAGGTCATAGGTGGTGACATGTTGAATATCATGGTATGTGTTATGTGGTGAGACATTCTACTTCCTAGTTCTTAATGCTAGCAAATATTTAGAATACTTCTTCACTTGCCTTAACTTGTATAATACAGTGCATGTTAGATATTCAAATACTTGGCGGGTCGTACAACTTCAGCTTTCTGCGAGGCTATAAATCCCAATCAGACAAGCACATAATAACATAATTAAAAACACCCCAACAAAATATTAAAATCTACACGTAACTATATCACCCCACATTTGCCAATCACACTATTATAGAACACATTATGACCCTAATATGGGACACATTATGGGACACACATACCTGAATATCGTAGTGTATCTTAGGAAGACAGCAGGTGCCAGTATACCAGGACCTCTGTAGCTCCTTGCCCTGAATCTCGTTCAGAATACTGTTCTCTCCTCCCAGGTATTCATAACACAGACACAGGAAGTTGTAGATCACAAACGCTGGGATAGTGGGTATTAGAAACAGAATTAAGCGCAAATAGAGGGTTTCTTTATCCATTTCTTTGGTTTTTTCAGTGGAATTAGTATTTTTAAATAGACCCACTATTTCTATTTCTTGGGAGAAAAAAGGAGTTTTATTCCTGTCTCAGTTCACAAGATTACGTTTCTAATGGACACATAACAGGGCGTGACCAATATCTCAAAATGTTTTAATAGCATTGGATACTGGTAACTGCGTCAATCTGCGGGGGAGGGGGGTTGTAAAATACACTATCTGAGGGCTATCTAGCTATTCCAACCATATCATGTTTCTGTTAAAGGTCACGGTTATTAAACTGAGGCCACATTCCTCAACATTCCCCAGACTACAGTAGTATAATACAGTAGTATATACTGAGTAGTAGTATATATAGTAGTATATATAGTATTATATACTGAGTAGTATATATAGTAGTATATATAGTAGTATATATAGTAGTTTATAATATAATAGTAGTATAATATATACTGAGAGGTTATTTGCACAACTGAGTTATATAATATATACCCTATATAATAGAGAATCGGACATTTTGAGTTACTCGACGATAAAAATGAGGTTTTAAACACATTTTGTAAAAACAAGATTATGGTGAATGGTCACTGTAATGTAAATTAAAGAAATTTAATCGGTTATTTTGATAGCATAACTTGTATTTCTTGGAAATATAACATTGTACCAAGTAGTAATAATGCTGAAGCTTGTCAGATTCATGTTAATATTGCATGCCAAGTGCCAACATATCACATAATTTGAAGATATATATTATATATCTGTTCGTTTCACATTCTGAGCAAAGGTCTTCTCTTAATGTGATAGAGTAGTGTGGATCTCAGATGATGATTTAGGCTTTATTTAGGCTAATTATGAAAAGATTGCAATCTCGATATAAGCGGACTTAAAACTGCTCACAGACTACAATATGATTTTATAATACAAAGGGTTATATAATAATTTAAGTAAGGTTAGGTAACTTAGAACGCTCATTACGTTTTGATTAAGGTGAATTATTTACAATAATGAATAGTCAAGACTCAAGTATTAATCATCAATACGGTCATGGTTCAAAGTTACTCTCCAAAACATAAGGGCCAAACTGGACCAAATTAAAAGTAACATAAGTCGACAAATTACATTCCATCTGTTTCTACACATACCGTTTACTAGGCACTAATTGTAGGATAGACATTTCACTACGAGGTGCGAAATGCCGGATAACCGGCCAGGTGGTGTTTAACAAATCGGACATAACAAAATTTAAGAACCATGTATCGAGCCAAATGTATTTCATTGATGATGCACATAAATCATAATCTTGTACTATGTCGGTAATATACTATTTTATATTATCTCGTAGTTTAAAAATGCAACTATTAAACAGCTTACAATTTTCATTGAAAAACAAATGTGGATCAAACTAAAAATGTAGATAAAATCAATATCTTACCTTCATAAACGTCCCTGATACTGTCAAAGTAAATGCTGAACTCCCAGAACAATAGACTGCACCATGAGGTTAGAGCATAGATCGGAACTATGCAAAGAATGCGGATAATCCACCGTTGTTCAGATGGACAGAAATAGTGCTGGAGGTGCTGATAAATCTGGAAATAAGCATTTAGTATATCTAATTAATTAATTAAGTATCTAATCATGCCATGAACAGCATTTTGAATTTATAAAAACTTTCGCCGCCAATACTCAGAGTTTTTAAAATTCGTTGCTTAATTCTTTTTTGCAATTTTCACGATTAGATGGTAAAGCTGATAAACATTTAAAGTAAATCAGAAAAAAATTTGAATAGAACAAAGAACATGTGAAACATGCTGAAAACATGTAAAAAACATGATGAAACATGCTGAGATGCTGAAAACATGTGAAACATGTGAAACATGCTGAAAACATGTAAAAAACATGATGAAACATGCTGAAAACATGTGAAACATGCTGAAAACATGTGAAACATACTGAAAACATGTGAATCACGCTGAAAACATGTGAAACATGCTGAAAACATGTGAAACATATTGTAAACATGTGAAACATACTGAAAACATGTGAAACACGCTGAAAACATGTGAAACATGCTGACAACATGTGAGACATGCTGAAAACATGTGAAACATGCTGACAACATGTGAAACATGCTGAAAACATGTGAAACATGTAAAACATGTGAAACGTATGTAAAACATGTGAAACATGTAAAACATGTGAAACATACTGACCTGGTAGCAGGCGATGAAGCTGGCAGCGATTGCGCAGATTCCTCCAAGTACTTTGGGCACTGCACCCAAAATAAACATTCAAGTCGGGACTAATAAAGAGGGATAATCAATACAATGGATTATAGTATTGTTATAGTATATATATATCACCTGATCACACGTAATGAATAAACTCGTTATGCTTCATATCTCAGTCATCTGAGAAGCTACAGTTCTAATTCTTTCAGGACAAACGTAATTCGAATGGCCAAACACAATTCAATAACATTTAGCTTGATCCGACTATCAAATAATTGTGAAAATGAACCTCCATTTGAAAAAAATGAACGCGAATATTTTTCGAGTTGACAAATTCCTCGAACCAGTGGTGGTGCTAAGTCATACCAGAAGGAAGTATTTCAATTGGGCACTCAGTGACTGAGCTATTAAGTCTAACGTTTGCACACTGACTTTTGGCCCACCGCACCCTGTACTATTATATAGTATATTATTATAGTATTTTGAAGGTTGTATTTTAGCAGTATCCACCAATTATCCGACACACGAATCTGTTTTAAATGTTGAATATGATGTTAATTAATTAGTAAGTCAATTCTTTGGGTGGGAAGGAAAGGTTGAAACTACTAAATTATCCCTAACTTATAAATATAACATCAAACAACAAAACAAGCTCCATTTTTCATCCAAGTTCATGGAATAAATTCATGATAAAATGTTATATGATGATATATTATGATACATATGATATTATATAACTACAGCTCAGGGGGGACCAAAAGTCGGTGCAGGGAAATTCATTGCAGGACAATAACATAGTTTGCTGCAATATGAACAGCTATTTTGAGACAGTAGAAAATAATACCTTCAAAAATAGATTGAGAAACATCCAAAACTTGTACTTTTTTATTTAACAAACTGTGTAAAATGATCACGTTTTCTATCCTATATAAATTAATATAGTATAGAAATAAAATTTTGATAAAAAGTATAACCATCAGCATTGATAGGCAATTACTAATTAATATTGTAAGTGAGATTCATTAGTTATACTATAATTTTCCTCAGATTCCTATTTAATGTTTCTTCTCTTTCTTGTGGGAGACGTTTTGTGTGGTAATGGGAGCACTGCTTGTACATGCAGGAGTTTTACCTGTGTGAATACGCTGATGTCAGAGAAGGTAACCTTTTCTAATAGTCACGTCATCTTGATGAAACTTGCAGGGTTTTTCAACTCTATGTATACGCTGATGTCTGACAAGATCACCTTTTCTATTAGTAGCATAAGAGCATTCGATACATTTGTATGGTTTTTCACCTGTGTGAATACGCTGATGATTTAAGAACTTGTCTTTTCGAGAACAAGCATAAGAGCATTCATTACACTTGTAGGATATTTCAACTCTATGAATACGCTGATGTTTGACAAGATCACCTTTTCTAATAGTAGCATAAGAACATTCATTACACTTGTAGGGTTTCTCACCAGTGTGAATTTTCATACGCTGATGTTTGACAAGATCACCTTTTCTAATAGTAGCATAAGAACATTCATTACACTTGTATGGTTCCTCATCTGTGTGAATACGCTGATGTTGGACGAGATTGCATTTGTAAGAACATGATTTAGAGCATTCATTACACTTGTAGGGTTTCTCACCAGTGTGAATTTTCATACGCTGATGTTTGACAAGATCAGCTTTTCTAATAGTAGCATAAGAACATTCATTACACTTGTAGGGTTTTTCACCTCTATGTATACGCTGATGTCTAACAAGATCACTTTTTCTAATACTAGCATAAGAGCATTCGTTACATTTGTACGGTTTCTCACCAGTGTGAATATGCTGATGCTGAAAGAGACTATCCTTTCGCGAACAAGTATACGAGCAATGTTTACATTTGTAGGGTTTTTCATGAGTATGAACTTTCTGATGTTGTAGAAGATTAGATTCGTATAAACAAGAAAAGGGGCAAACTTTACATTTGAAAGATTTACTTCCCAGTGGGGTTTTCTTTGAATTGTTCTCTCTTTCTGATAATTCGGAAGAACTGGGCAGTTCATTAGGAAGTAAATTCCCACCAGTCATTATATCCTCATGATGTTCTCGAACATGTTCGATAAAGAACTCATTGTAAAGGAAATGAGCTTTACATGTGGGACAAATAAAACCATGTGACTTCCCAGATTTTTCCTCTAGCTCACACTTTATTTCCTTCTTTATAACATGGTCAAGAATCTCAGTCTTCATTTCATCTTTAACTGTTTGTGATCTTGTCTCCCGATTTGACATTGTGATCCCTCCACTTAAAAGGTTCAAGAAGTTATAAAATGAATCATATCGACGAGTATTAGTTCAGTACAAGGAGTAACTGATTGGGGGAAATTATAATCATAATTCCTTCTCACTTTCCCATCCCATTAAGTTCATTTTGTTAGAAAATACTCCAAAAATGGGACGGGGAATCTACTGGAGGAAAATAGCATGGTTTGCTGCAATATCAACAGCTTCTTTACAGTATTCTAAAAAAGGCAAAAGCCAACTCTTCCCTAGGAGGTGGCAACAACAACTTTTCAATGTCTGTTTAGATTATATTTGTGATAAGATTAGCAAGCACCATCAGCAATATTCAATAATCTAGCAAAACGTAATAGGTAGTTAAAGTATGAGTACTCAGTACATAAAATTTAAAATTTATGAAATTTGATGAATCAATCAGTAAAATAGGTCACTTTAGATTAAAATTATATTGAAAATTGGGCAGATTTAAATTTGAATACCAATTCATACTGTATAATAAATAATTTAATACAGATAATATTCCGAAAATAATGCAGATATAATTAAACTAAGAAATATACATCAAAATAAAAAGTTTACCCTCTAAAAATAAGAGTTTATACCCTCTTCTGGTCTTACAATCCTATTGACTCCTCAAGCCAAGAGCTAAATTCAAGAGGAAGAGTACAGCAGCTCATGTGATACTCCTCATAGTAACATCTGAGTCCCATCTCCTTTGCTTTTGCTGCTGAAATCTTATAAACTGGGACATCAAGTTGCTCATAATTCTTCCCAGATTCTTTCGTCATGCGCCCAAAGAGAATGCCAATATTCCCATTTGGAAAACTTGGTACAGGCACCATGCCATAACATATCATTTTAGTGGCTGCTTTCATATTCTCAATCTCGACTTTTAAAGAATCATTATTTTGATACGGGCAAAATGCCTGGTATGAGACTACTCCTCCATCCTTAATTATCTCCTTCAGCTGAGTGTAAAAAGCTTTCCCTAAAAGTTGATTCTCTTCATCTGAACAAATTGCATAATCTGTAACATCAATGATAACAACATCAAACATAACATCACATGTTTTAATATACTCTTTAGCATCACCTACTATCACAGAAACCCTCTCATCTTCCAGAAACCTTCCCATGGAAGGAATGTGTTCTTTGCATACTTTCATGACCTGTTCATCAATGTCCACCAGTATGATTTCTCTAACTCTGGAATCTTTTAGCAGTTCTCTGACAATACCACCATCTCCACCTCCAATGACAAGAACTTTCTCAGGTTCTAAGACTGAACAAAGAGGAAGATAGGTCAGCATCTCTTGATAGAGGAATTCATCGTAAGTAGTAGCTTGAACACATCCATCCAATGACAATACTGTACCAAACTTTTTGTGTCTGAACACTTTGATGGCTTGGTATTGGCTCTTGAAGTCGCAGACTACCTCGTCCTGAAGAAGCTGAAATCGTTGACCAGGATAATCAGCATCACATTCTTCATTGTGCCACACAAGATTAAATTCATCTGTCATTGTCGTTAACCTGTTAGGTTGTAGATCATATAATCGCGAGACTAAGGGTGTTATAAAACTTACTGCTATCGGTTTTTCTAGTGTTCGAACTATTGATTACAATACAGAACTTTTTTTAAAGCTGGTAAACTTAATTGATGATGGTAATTTTTTTTATTTGAAATTTCAATTGATTATTATACATGAGAATCAAACGTTACATTTCATCCATGCAAAACTGCACTGACATTATTTTGATACAAAACTAATGGAAACAAAGGTATTACAATATACTTATATAAGTTGCATACTGATGGCTGGGTGACAGCTAACTAGACAAATAAACTTGTATTCAATATAACAATTACGTTGGGGCCATCTGAATTGGTGCCTACAGTTTTAAATACATGAACTGGTTTAGAATTTTAAGTAAGACCTTTTAATTGTGGTCAGTCAATTAAGGCCAGCGGGGAGTAAACTTCTATTTTTCAGTTTTCACATGTGTGATAGAGTTGATCATGGAGACCATCTAGTAGAAAAAAAAAGCTAAATTGCAGTCAAATTTTAATTAAACAATAAGAATTCAAAATTTTATGAAAATTGTAACTTATATTTAAATATCAGAGTTCATAACTTCTTATGCTTATTAGTTGCAATATTGAAATGAAAGAATAGAAATCGCTAAAAGCTCACAAATTGCTGTTGTCTCTATTTAAAATTAAACGTCCAAATTGTTTTTCAAATACATTCAGGCCAAGAAATCGTTCAGACAAATCTCCAGACATTTTCAAAAAATATGCTAGATCTGTAAATCCTGTTGTGAGATATATACCAACTATAGCAACACAGCTCCCTATCAAAAATATCAAATAAGATCCAGAAATTATATCCTTCGTTCTGTCCAGCTTAAATTCTGGACCATTATTTGCAGAAGAGGACTCTAATGTCTTTTTCAGTATTTGGAGGTTTCTGTTGTTAAAGTTTCCAACGTTGTAAAAAGAAAACGCCACATTGCCGGCAGAAAACTTTTTGTCTGACATGGAACACTGACTTGCTGGAATTGTGTGATGAGCTTGGGTAGTAGACTGAAGGTGAACTTCTTTTGTGGAAGGGTCTAGGGACAGATCAATTATTTTGCTGGATCCTACCCAACTTATAAAAGGGTGACTAACAAGCACTAAGACAGCAATTGCAGGCACCGCAGTATATAAATGATAATCTAACATAGGCACTCCAAGTCCAGTAAAGTTGACAAGAAATTGAGGGATAAGAATAGCATGCATCCTTTTTATTTGTTTATTTCCTATCATGTTAAACTTTGCTATTCCAGCTGCAGTGAACACTTTTAATTCATTCTTCTGACCTTTTCTGACTGAGCCAGTAACAATCTTTTTCGGTGGCCGCTTACTACTTGTAGAGAAGATTTTCTGACAATATAGTGTCCTCCAGATTGCACCGACCTTTCGATGTGAAAACATTGCAGACATAGTGACCACAAACCTAAGAGTTAGGAGAACTATTAGCAAGTTAAAACAATTAACATTCAACGCAATGAGGGTAAATAATTTTACTTAAAAGATAATGAATATTCAGTCATTAAGTCATTAATATAAATATGACAATCTATTATAATGATGTATAATATACTACAGTTAAACCTCTATACTATTTACCAGGCCTCTTGGGGGAACAAAAAGTGCACAGTATAGAAAAAACCTGGTAGAGAGGTTCACATGATCCGGTTCCCTAGTAACTATAGCATCTCAAATAGTCTATCTAGCGTCTCATATATCCCATTAGAGCCTTAGTATACGTGTATCAACAATTTATCAAAAGTATGATTGAATACATTATATCATATATATATATATATATATATTTGCGATATGGCTGAAACAAGCGTGTCACACAGCACGCGTATACACATGGATATGTGAACGTGCGCTGCACCGAAAAATTGTTGTTATCAGATCTAGCTGAGATATCATGACAAGTAAAGTCGCTAATTTTGCCCTGTACGTTTGAAGTTTATAACTTGGTATGGCGCCAAGTTCAGAGTTGGACTTTTTGAGTACAGTTTTAGTCTAATATTTTACGGGCAATGAATTACCTTATTATATCCACAATGCTTGCAGCAGCGCGCGCCCGCCTTCCAGCGGTTAAAAACACAGAGGGGTCGTTTACATATTACGCAATCAGCTGAGGGGGGAGGGGGTTCCAAATAATGACTACGCTAGTGTAATTTTGACACAATAGTTATGTATAAAATTGATAAGGGGGTAAAAATGTTCCAAAAATTGATTACGTAATATGTGAACGACCCTATTGTAATGCCAAAATGTTGATTCACGATGTCAATCCTTCCTAGCTAGCTCCGCGACAATATGCGCGGCGCAGCGCAGATCAGTTGTGCATTACGCTACAATGTAAGGTGTGAGTTTTAAGGTTTAGGTTAAATAAAATGCTTGGTTGACGATGTCAACCCATCGATATCGTTGCTCGATCGACGATGCGAAACAAGAATGCTAGTTCGCGCGGCGCGTCGAAGCGGCGAAGTCTTCCAAATAAAATGCTTGAAAAAGTGACTTTGTTTAATTAAATTAAATTAGGTTTGTGGATGGAATTATAAAAATAATCATTACGTCACATTGCAAACGGCCCTAGCTTAATTGACGATGTCAATTCATCGCAGCTCGGCGTGGCACAGTTGCGCATTTCGCCGATCTAGCTGTGAGAAGCCTCATTGAGTTTGTAGGTTTACAACCTACCAGGACGCGCGCCGAGTTGGACTCGTCGACGGTTCTATATGGAACAAATATTTTAAGAGTATCACCTGTTAAATATTTTGTTATTTAACATTTTATGTATTTTTATTTGCGTTTTCATCAATAAGTCATGCAATTATTGACAATTATTTTTTTAAACTCTGCTCGCCCCTCCAATTTATATATGAAACATAGGTACATTGTACATGTAAATTCATACGTCGTACAAAAATCATCAAAAAAATAGCGCCACGCATATGTGCACGGTCTATCTTACATCTTTTCAGAAGAATCGAGCGCTACTGCAGAAAGTTGTTATATTTAATCACTGCTGTGGTTGTCACAGTTATTAGGAGTGTTCCGTTTAATTGGAGGTTTAATTGTACCTCCAGCGCCAATATGCGCCAATATGCAATGTTACGCCACTGGTCGCAATTCATTGACGAGGGCTTCTATACACTAGCAACTAGCATTAAACTATTTTCTTCCGCCCTCCTCTATTTTCTAGCCAAATTGTTTAGTTTGATAGCACTATCAGGTTCTAAACAGTCCTACTGACTGAAAGTTGTATTGCTACTTAAAGGAGCTCCCCGATGCTTAATCTTTACTTTATTCCGTTGAGTTTGTTTTATTACTAGATAGATACCCTTCACTACATCTGCATACATTGTTTTCTCTGATCCATTCAGTCTGCCTGGTCGTGGGGTGAGTGTCGTTGACGTTAAGCTAAAGATCCGGGGAGATCCTGAGTGGTCTATGCAGCCACCGGTCTAATCAGCCGAATACTCGAGAAATCGGGTGTGAGGGTTAAATGAGGAGCTGCACATAGCAGCAAAGTCTCGGGCGAAGAAATTATGGTATACACTACCTTGACCGTCACTGGCCCAATAAATCCTTCGGCTTCCTGTAATTGGCTGGTTGCACTTGTGTAACAATGTGGCTGTTGGAATACACAAAATAAGTGTCTTGATAAAAAAATAGTACTATCGAGCGTGTAAATCACTCTACAGTCGATTTTTGAGATTTCTCTAAAAGGGTCCCCGACAGTTTAAACCAACTTGAATCGATGTATTTTCGAACGTTGATTCCGAATCACGTCCATGACATAGGGTTAAAATGCTCCCCTGTTGATATATTGGCAAAAAACTGTCTTAATCACATGATATGACTTTGTAAGGAAGTTGGTGTAATTTCTCGTTAGGGTTAGGGTTTCAGCAAATACTTTTGTTCGGTATTGAGTTAGAGTTCAGGTTGGGGTCAGATTAGAGGGTTAGGGTTTCGAATAGTCATTCAGGGCCACCTAGAGAACGAGTTAAAACAGTCACGTGACAGTCGAGTGTAGAGTGATTAATCATCATCCTAGTAATATACTATTCTATACTGTACGAATCAGGCTAAATGATCCCGGTTGCCTTTTATAAGTCCCGTTTTTGGGTGAACTAAAAAATAATGTAATTTTTCGAAATTGGAAAAATTTGGCCAATTTCGAAAAATTGATATTAATGCAATAAAGTGTATGGCTGTATTAGGACTTGAAGCTAATTTTCCTATTCCTATTCTTATAAAAATGTACTTTAGTGTGTGGAGTGTTTGTTAATAATCTGTAGTTGTGTGTGAGATGTGTCTTTCCCTGTTTGTATCTAATTTTCATTTTTCAGGATTAATCTATGGTTTACTTAGAAGACTTCAATGTGAAGTGATGTATCTCTCTATGAAGAAGTGCAGCTATGCTTCAGACTTTCTCTTCAATCATAGACTTTGATGTTCAGACTAAATCTATTAGGGGTGCCATCAACCCCCTGGCCAATCAAGTTGCCATAATGTCCTCATACTACAACAAAAAGAAAGGTGTTAAGAGCAGGAAACTTCTACATCATGCTAAGTATGTGAATGAAATTTGTTATGAACTGATAAAGTTTGCCAGAGAAGTTGCTAAAGAACATCCAGATGTTGAATATGAACTCAATCAAGCATGCAACAGAACATGTGACGTTTACAATGTGATGAAGATGAAAATAGAGGGAGATGATAAGCATGATTCAGCTGGCACCATAATAGACATAGCTAAGCAACTCATAAATAATGTTGCTCGGATACTTATTGTAACAGACTCTGCAGATTTGATTTTAATTGATAAAACTATTGAAGATGTGAAGCAATGTTTGAAAGCTGTTGAACAATCCATCGAAATTTGTGCTTTTGATGAAATCTTTCAAAAATTGAGAAGCGTCATGGATGTTTTGATGAAGCAAATTGCTAGTAGACAAATGGATCTTTTAGACTCTCAGAAAAAGGATGAATTGGGGTTAGTCCGGTCAATGTGGATGCGCTGTAAAGAGAGATTATACACTTCCTCTAGAGTTGCTATTGTACATCCTGAATTAGATTCTGGTGTAACAAACCGGAATTTAGTACTACAGGAAATAAGTGATTCAATCAAAAAACTGCAGGCACTCATTAAGGGAAGATCAAGTTCTGAATCACAGAGTAAAGCTGGCATTCTAGCTTCATGTTTTGAAGAATTTGAAGTGAGTGTTATCTTCGCTAACAAGATGAAACGTGATCAACAAAATCTACTTCAAAACAACTTAGCTATAATTATCAAAGAGGCATCATCTATTGCTGATTCTGCTTCTACAAGAGAGGAAAGGCAGCAAAATATCCACAGACTTTGCAAAGACTGTGAAATGTTGTTAAATGTTCTCATCCACTCTAATCCTGACTGCAACAATGACAAACATATTGAGAAAATATGTTCAACAACTGGTCAACTGAGGCATTATCTACAACTTGCAACATTGGATCATATTGTCGACTTTTATTTTTTACCCTACATACCGTTTCAATGGCTGTACTCTATTTCTGCTGAAGGGGCTAAAGACAAAGATCAGCTCAAAGAAAGTGAACATGAGATGGTTCAGCATGTTCTAAACCTTGAAATGATAGCCAGAATGGCATGTTCACTTTCTGTAGAATCATATCATAACAAAGTGGTTAGGTTTGCGATCGCCAATATTGCTAATTTGGTGAGACAAGTTGTTTTTGCAACCCGTAGTTTGGCAAATCAACCTAAAAGTGAGCTTATTAAACATAATATGGATGTTTACAAGAAAGCATGGTCAAAAGAACTGAACAATTTGGTTGAAGCTGTAGATGAAATCACACCAGTTACAGAATTTTTGTACATAAGTATTTCACATGCCAAAGAAAATGTGGAGCTTATCTCTCAGATTCTAGAGGCAGAATTCTCATATCAAAATGAGAATAACGGTGGTGAAAAGAATTGGGCAGATCTGGATCAAACTGTAGATGCTTTGATAAACAGGACTTTGCGTGTTTTGAGTGTTATCAGAGAGGAGCGTAGAAAAGTCGTTGATGAGCGATATCTTGCAAATGATCCTGTCATGGGTCGATGTCAACACCTTGCTAAATATGCATTAACTGAAACAAAGAAGCTTTGTGATGAGATTGTCAAAGAAGGCAAGCCAAAAAAGGATGCATTGAAGAAAAGAGCAAACGACGTAGTTTCTCAATTATGCAAGCTTCAAATTGCATTTTCAAAAGCCACTACAAGATGTGATGCTTACATTGAATCTTTTTATGCAGAATGTGACACAACTGAGCATGAACTAAATAGGAACGCTATGTCCATTGCTGTGGATAAGCCATTGCAAAGCTGTCTCAAGATCTGTGCTATTTTAAAAGTTATTGTGTCTAATGTGAAAAGTGGGGACTGCATTCAACATTGGCCAGTTGTTATTCAGAAACTGAAGGAACTCAATGCTGAGACCAGCGGACTTGATTTCTGTGTTAGGGACATTGTTACAAATGGCAGATCCTCTGCCGTGAAAAGTGACTTGATTTTGGAGTATTCCAGTAAAGTTGTGGAATGTTCAAGGCACAGTTTGACTGTAGCTATGAAAGATATGTCACATTATGTTTGTTATGGAGAGGTTTTTGTGTCTCTTCTCTCGTCTGCTAAAACTATTATCATAAATATACCTGAGATATATAAAGGGTGTATGTTATTCAACAGCAAACGGAAAAAGGTTTTCAAGAAATAATTTATGCTCGGTTTTTATTAACTTCTAGGTAATCAACTAAAGATTTATCTCTGCAGATTTATTTTTAAACTTTGTGTAAAATAACTATTGTTTATAAAAACTGTTAAAACCAGACATTGTATTATTTTTTGTCAAAAATGTATATCACTCTCATCTGGTACTGTGGTTTTGTCCAAGATTGGTCGAGTTACATTGTCTTGAAATTCAATTGAAACCTACATCTTTTTCATTTATTAAACTTGTCTGCAAGGTTTCTAGTTGATGAAATCTTTCACTTGATTGTTTTCAAAATCAGTATTTGATAAAATATAACATTAACACTCTAGGTTCTGCATGTCCATTCCTGTCGAGTATGACCCAGAAGAACATCCAAAGTAAGTGATTTCAACTATCACACTGAGTCATTAATAGGAGATTAATTTATCAATTACAGAGATTGGTGCCATTTATAAATCTATCATGTCATCGATTTTAATAGATTTGAAAGTTCATATCTTTAATACAGTTTTTTATTCTTCAGGTGGTTTAAATTAAAAGGGATCAAGTACTGTCTTCGAGATTCGGTTGTACTGAATGGAGAAGAATCGAATGTTTATTATGCACTGATCTCAAAAATACAGAAGGATAACCAGATTCAAGTACAATGGTAAGTCCCTGGCTTTTCAAACTTCACGTTATGAATTATAAATTTGTTGAGGCCACTTTTCCGCCGACAATATCAAACATTGTGCAGTCACGTTTACCCATACTAGGTACTCTGACACTGGATATCCCAACGTCGCACATTCTCAGGTATTACCTGCCACACGAGATGGTACTCAGCAGGGTGGAGAGATCCAGTCTGCACCCCAACGAAATATTCATCACACACACCACAGATTATATTGATGTGGAGACTATCCAGATGAAAGCCGCCATTTTCCACACCAAGGGTTTTGTAGGTCTCTATTGCTATTTCAGTTTTAACTCCCTACCCGTTAACATTGGGGTTAGAAATGTGTTTTCAGTAGGTTTGGAGAAAATAATTATTAACATAATTATTGTTGACTTATTTTTCAGTTTATAATATACAGTCATTAATTAATGTGTAATTTAAGTTTTCAATTACAGGCTCCTCCAAAGAAAGTGCCAGACACATGGTTGATACTGCGCCGGAGGTATGATCCTTATAAAAATACGGTAAAAAGCATTGATATTGAGAAAGACGATCTAAAGAGAGTTGAAAAGTTGAACACTTCCCTCTGTCCTGTGGAATCAGATGTTAAATCTAATTTTACCAGAAAAACACCTCAAGGGAAAACACCTTCCAGAAAAACACCTACCTCCCAAAATGTTAGCCTCAATTATTATTTATTCTGGAATCTCACGCAGCAATGTGGCAATGTTTTGGTTCATTTATTTGGCTTTTAAATTTTAGTGTGCTCTGTTCAGCATTTGATCTAGAACTTATAAACAATTCACAGAACACGTGACAGAACACGTGACATAAAACGTGACATATTTACAGAAAAGTGGTGGTAGAAGACAAACAAGACATTCAACTGATCCTGAAATCGAGATTAAATTCAACAAATCTTGTAAAATAGCGTCTTCCAGCGAAGATAACATGCCTCAAACCAAACAGAAAACCAGCATCAAACCAGCCGAAGGTAATATTAGAAAATATTAGAATTGCCTGTTTGTCACTCCCCGTCCCCCTTTGCTACTCCAACATTTAATATTGTGTTTTGTTACTTCATAAGTAAAGGTATATTTTCAGCTGATGAGCCAAGGAAAAGCTCCTACTTCTTTCTCTCCTCTGAAGATGTTAAGAATGATTCTCGTCCGACTGTAACCCCAAAAAGGAAAAAGATGACTGCTCCTCCTCCTCCTCCACAACTCAAGATAAGCAGTGCTTCCTCCAATACCAGAAAATCTACCACTTCAAGGAGATCTACAAAGTTAACATCGGAGTTAGAAACAATGTCTCTGAATGTATCCGACAAAGGGACTAGTACTCCTAAAGGGAGTCCTGTACTTCAAGTTAATAAAGCTCTGGAACAAACACCAACACCGAAGACAACTCGATCTGGGAGAAAAGTTAAACCTGTTGAAAACTTCTACTCTTTACAATCCTCCTTGGCTATGGAGGCTTTGATGAAATCAAATTTGCTTAAACAAGTAAGCGAAGATACAGATTCCCAGGATGACAACGAAGTCTCCTTCAAAGAAAACAAACCGCCAGTTAAGAAGTCTAAAGCCAAGACCACTAAAGTTGCCACCACAACATCGAATAAAAAGAAGAGAGCATCACATCGGAGATGCTCGATAGAAAGTACTGATTCTGATGATGATGATTACGAAGCGAAGAAGATTAAGAGGAAGAAGACACCCCTCAACAAGAATATGAGGACTCCTCGAGCAAACAAGAATCTAAAACCTGCTCCTCTTGATACGCCATGTGTTATCCCGCTCAGGTAATTGCATTTAATTTTCTATGGGTTTTTTTAAAAAGACGTTTATTTTGTATCTATTATTTGTTTTAAGATAGTAATATGTGCATTGTTCCTCTTTTAAAGTTTGTATAGTATGCAATATATACATATTCTAAATTGATAAAAGTCAAAAATGTATTTTGATAATAATATAAATTACAGAGCGGCTGGACAAAGTAAAGAAACGTCGTTCAGTATCGCCCGGTCTCGGCTCCATGTATCTGCTGTACCCGAATCTCTTCCTTGCCGGTAAGAATTAATTTAATATTATCGATAAGAATTACGAATGTATATTGTACTCATGTATGTATAATGTATATTGTACTTTTGTTACTCAGCTGTACTATATAATTTAGGGCCCCCTGGTTTATTTCAAATGTGTTCTAAAGTTCAGTTCGAAAACTTGTAACATTAATCATTCGTTTGAATAGAGCACCTATTTGTCAATCAGTGTAACATTTTATCTAAAAATAAAACAGTGAGTCTGTTAAACTTTAAATTTAACGGCATAAAAATACAAATGAATCGTTCATAAGGCATTAAAATGACCAATTTGCACTTGTGAAATAAATGGCGTAATGCTCTTTAATAGTCATCACTCATCATATTTAATTTTTATTTCACCCCTACTTGCAGTTGAGCATTAAGCACTGTACAATTCTCTAAACGGATATTGTGATATATTATTTGTATACTATGACGTATATACTATGACGTATCTATGACGTATCTATGACGTATCTCGCAGAGAGGAACAGTTTGCTGACATATACTACTTCCTGGAGAGTAAGCTAGAGGATCAGACAGGGGGCTGCATGTACATTAGCGGGGTTCCTGGAACAGGTACTGTGTAAAATGTGTAAAATGTGTAAAATGTGTAACATGTGTAAAATGTGTAAAATGTGTAACATGTGTAAAATGTGTAAAATGTGTAAAATGTGTAAAATGCGTGACTTGTGAGGTGCCAAGTGGTAACTTTACATCTTGCTGATCTGTATTTACAAAGTGCTCCAATTTGTGATTATCACCTTGTTGCGACAAAGGAAGCGTTTTCTTTTGTCGCAACAAGGTGATAATTAGAAATAATTAACTCAATTTATTTAGGATCTGTATTATAAAATTAGGGTTATTTTATTTGGTCTATGTTACCACTTACCAGCAATGATATCAAACATAGTTGAATATTAGAAACATTCTAAGACCTACAATATTACTGTACCAGTGTGATACAAATATTTTGTAAATTTTGACTATGGTATTTCAGGAAAAACAGCAACAGTGCGTGATGTGTTAAAACACATAAACGATGGTGACTATGATTACCAAACTATTGAGATAAACGGCATGAAACTCAGTGACCCAAAACAGCTCTACTCTCTTATATACAGGGTATGTGAAACATTTGGAATTTTTCGTACATTTTTCTTTCTTTCTTTCGACGACTAAAAATTTAGTGATGTCAAATCGAAGCTGTATTATTATTTTGAAATTTGAATTCTTTTTTTTTTGCCCGCTACATCTGTGATACACCAACACTGGTATTTTAAATTAACTCTCTTTTCCGGGCGCATGCTGTATCTAGAACTGACTACACGTATAACTTGCTGCGAATTGTGAGCATGCAAAAAGTGAAGGGCTTGTGTCAGTTGATCTTAGCAATACAGGCCCTAGTGTGAGAGACTTTTAGCAACCACAACTATCAAGCGGCATTGCACAAACGATAAATCATTGACATTTTAAGTATTTCAAGTACAATGTACGCTGATTATCGACTGTTTTGGACTTAAATTCAACAGGCATTTACCTAAACAACTGTTGACTCTAAGCTAAGATTTGGTAACATTTATTTGCTTGTGAAATTAAAGAAATGACGTAATGTTACAGATAATATTTAAAATCTGCTCGTTTTTTAAATTAAGTTTTTTTAAGGTGTAAATTAACAAGTTTTCATTCAGCATCTGGAAGGAAAGAAGGTAACTCCAGATCACGGTAACCTGCTACTGAGCGAATATTTTGGTAAATGCGAGAAGAAGTCTATCGTGCTCGTTGTTGATGAGGTAAAAAGAATTATTAACTCCCGTACGTGACACTGTACGTGACACTGTACGTGACATTGTACGTGACACTGTACGTGACACTGTACGTGACACTGTACGTGACACTGTACGTGACACTGTACGTGACACTGTACGTGACACTGTACGTGACACTGTACGTGACACTGTACGTGACACTGTACGTGACACTGTACGTGACACTGTACGTGACACTGTACGTGACACTGTACGTGACACTGTGCGTGACACTGTACGTGACACTGTACGTGACACTGTACGTGACACTGTACGTGACACTGTACGTGACACTGTACGTGACACTGTACGTGACACTGTACGTGACACTGTACGTGACACTGTACGTGACACTGTACGTGACACTGTACGTGACACTGTACGTGACACTGTACGTGACACTGTACGTGACACTGTACGTGACACTGTACGTGACACTGTGCGTGACACTGTACGTGACACTGTACGTGACACTGTACGTGACACTGTACGTGACACTGTACGTGACACTGTACGTGACACTGTGCGTGACACTGTACGTGACACTGTACGTGACACTGTACGTGACACTGTGCGTGACACTGTGCGTGACACTGTACGTGACACTACGTGACACTGTACGTGACACTGTACGTGACACTGTACGTGACACTGTACGTGACACTGTACGTGACACTGTACGTGACACTGTACGTGACACTGTACGTGACACTGTACGTGACACTGTACGTGACACTGTATGTGACACTGTACGTGACCCTGTATGTGACACTGTACGTGACACTGTACGTGACACTGTACGTGACCCGAGTTAAATCCGGATATGTTCACATTCCAGTACAGTATCCGAGAAGTCGGTGTTCACATTCCAGCAGTATCAGAGAAGCCCGACACAGCTACTCGGAATTCCACGGTCGGGCTTCTCCGATAGCTCTAATATATTATTATTATCTCAAATTAATTAAATTCTATTTCCACGGAAAAACAGCAACCTCTAAAAAAGCAACCCTCAGTTGGATCTACTGTGGACGAGAAAACAACACGTTATGTACAACTTGTTTGACTGGCCAAACAGAGCAAACAGCAAACTTGTGGTTATTGCTATCGCTAACACTATGGACCTGCCTGAGAGAATGCTGATGAACAAAGTCGCTAGCCGTCTGGTAAAAAGGGGAGGGGGGGATGCAACGTCAATTAATGTCAGTATTCCATAAAAACCCCAAACTGACATTGACATTAATTGACATTAATTGACATTAATTGACATTAATTGACATTAATTGACATTAATTGACATTAATTGACATTAATTGACATTAATGTGTCTTGAAATTTGAGATTATCATTATTCGATAAATATTCAAGATATTCACGTCTATGTAAGTTAGACCGGTTCAAAAAAACAAAATGTCCTTGAATTATTATGAGTATGTTCTTATCTGTTGATCCTTAGGTTCAAAGACCACCAAAAAAATGTCAGCTCCCAACTCTTACATCTTCGGTCCCCACCGGCCACGCCCATATTTTATTAGTTTCTTATACAGGTAAAATATCTAGAATCGGCTTTTTTAGTATGAAGGAGTAATGTTAGCTGTTTAAGATTCGTTATTCACATATAAATGTCATGAAGGCATTTCGTTTAATGTGGGTTTTAAGTTCTGATTATGTTGATAAACACGCCCTTGGATGGCCACGCCCACTTAAGAAAAATAAATTTCGGAAAACCGTATTATTTTAGTTTTATTGTTTAATGATCTGAATTTTTTCACATTTCACATTTCCATATGTGATAGTAGTGAATAAATTGATGATATAAACGTTCTAAAGTGCTAAAAATATGGTAGAACTACATAATCTCTGGTCGAAAAATATCGTGTCAATTAATGTCAGTATTCCAAAATTTTGCAAAACTGACATTGACATTAATTGACATTAATTGACATTAATTGACATTAATTGACATTAATTGACATTAATTGACGTTGCATCCCCCCCGAAGGGGATTATCATTCACTTTTCTTACTATTTACTGCTACATTTCTTACTATTTACTGCTATATTTCTTACTATTTACTGCTACATTTCTTACTATTTACTGCTATATTTCTTACTATTTACTGCTACATTTCTTACTATTTACTGCTACATTTCTTACTATTTACTGCTACATTTCTTACTATTTACTGCTATATTTCTTACTATTTACTGCTACATTTCTTACTATTTTAAGCAGAAGTAATAATGGAAATTGGTTGCAAGTTATAAATTTTATCTTGCATCAAATTTGCAAACTTTTCCTTATAATACAAGTTTAATGTTACAATGTAAGTTTGATCATCGTGGCCGTTGAAACCACACCTTGTAACACAGTTGCTTTAGAGTTACCATCTAATCGATTTACAGGGACCGGGCTATGTAACGGTTCCATCTAGTCTTAATGTATGATGAAACCATGCACTAGAACTACTTATTACTTAATACCTTAATCATGATGATTGGGCTCTAAAATCTTTTGAAAAAGATACTTTCAAATTTCCTGTTGCATTATAATTCCCTATCATGACACAACTAATGGGCTCCATGACTGCATGTGACAGCATGTGTTGTAACATGTGACAGCATGTAACACCTAATTTCCGGTAGGGTCTGACAAGGATGACGTTCCAGCCCTACTCCCACTCCCAGTTGCTGGAAATTATCAACTCTAGGCTGGAGGGAACGGTTGCCTTTGATCCTTCAGCTTGTATCCTCGCTGCTAGAAAGGTTTGATGATGTAAAGTGATATCAGTGATTTTAGAAGAATTAAGAAGAGCATATCAAGGACAAAAGGAAATCGCGGCATGTACGGAATCGCGATTTTTCCCATTATTTGCGACAAATCTTAAATGTATAGTTGAATATACCGCGAAATGTAATTCGCGGTATCGCGATTTTTGGCCAAAATAATCGGCTGAATGAATTTAATTTTAATAGCAGCATACAAATTACAAGTCAGCGAGTATCCCTATTACCTCACAGTCAATCCCCTACTATTAATATATGTTAATATGTGGTACAGGTAATTAATTAATTAATTAATTAACTGAAGTTTTGTACAGGTAGCTGCAGCGTCAGGAGACGCGCGCCGCGCACTTGATATCTGTAGACACTCAATAGAAGTAGCTGAACAGGCAGAATCAGATACAGTCACTAGTACACATATACAGAGAGCTATAACAGACATGTATCAGAGTGTCAAAACTAGAGCTATCATGTGAGTAGGCTTTACTTAGTTTAGATTTAAAATATACATTCTATTCGAAGTTCGAATGATAATTGATATTGTCCGTTATGATGATTTTTGGGTAAGATGTGAAAGGTAATATTTAAGCTACCATCTTAAGTTGTCAATTTGAGTTACCAATTTAAGTAACCAATTTAAGTTACTAATTTAAGTTACTAATTTAAGTTACTAATTTAGTTACCAACTCTTTCCTTCAGGAACTGTACGCTGTATCAGAAGATATTCCTAAAGTCAGTTTTGGGTGTTTTCAGAAGGAAGGGGGTGGAGGAGGCAGTCTTTAAAGAGGTATACGAGGTCTTCAGTAGTCTCTGCCAGTTCAAGGTACTTTTTCGTTGTAATAATTTTATGTGTACTGTAATTTTACTGTTCGTCATTTTCAATTTAGTGATATATCAAATTTTCCCAAAATTCAAAGCACTGATTGAATTTTAATCTTTTTGAATGTTTATCACACATGACGTGCATCTTCACTGTAACAAGTCTGTAACACATGTCTCTAACACACATGCCAGTAACACGTGTCTAAGTGTAGAACCCAGAACCTGCTAACACCTCATCCCCAGGTTCCTTCTCCCCACCCTGTGGGTCCATCCTACAACTCTGTGTCGAACTAGGAGGGAGCAGGATACTGCTTGTAGAACAAGGTCCTCCCTCACTTCATACCCACATTAGACTCAACTGTTCCCAGGATGACGTAGTCTTCGCTCTCAAGGAAGCTGGTTGATCTGTGGTTGATCTGTGGTTGATCTGTGGTTGATCTGTGGCTCTTATGTTTTCATTTTCTAGACCCCCCCCCCCAAGGAATTTGTCATCTACATTCCATTTGGTTTTTTGTTTTTACGGTACAGATGTTTCGGGTTTAACAATTTGATCAGTTGTTGGTGATCGCTGATTTTTAACTTTTTAATCGTTTTCAAACCTTTTAACAATCTTTAAAATATGGCGAATTTACGTTTCATCAAATATTTATTGAAAATTTACCATTTTGTTTGTATTTATCACTTATTAATATAATTTAAATAATGTCATGATAACCTAAATTATCTATCATCATTCATTTAAAAGTATCTTGAGTTTTTAAAACACCGTTTTCACAAATTCAAACTAAAGTTGTTTATAACTCTTGCAAGTTTACTTAAGATTCTTTAAGTTTGATACTTTAGATACCCTTCTTTAAAAAATTCACGTAACCATAACCACTAATGACAGCTATAAGATGGATACGATAGCAGGATATGGCAGTAGCAGCGACAGTGAACCAGAACCCACAGTTTCATACGGAGCTATTGCTAGTTTTAAGAACAAAATGAGGATCCTAAACAGCACCCCAGTAGTAGCCGAGAGAGATGAGGTACGTGTTGTGATATTTACTGGCAAGTTTACTGGCAGGTTTACTGGCAAGTTTACTGGCAAGTTTACTGGCAAGTTTACTTACTGGCAAGTTTACTTACTGGTAACTGTAGATGGGGAGGCGTGAGACTGTTGGTTTTAAATTCTTTAAATATCACAAAAGAGCCCTGTGTATCTGTTGTGGAGCCTGGAAGTTATTTCCATTATTATTAAGCACCACCTATTTTAAAACGACGAGACCACTGGCTAGTAAGATTCCTTAGCAGATTGACAGAATAACCGTAGACCAAGCTGTCGCGCTCGTGTCAGTAATTATGTAACCTCCAGACCTTAACAATGTACAAATATTCTTTGTGTCGCTAAAAGTATGATTTTCGGTATGACGGAACAAATCAAAGGCATTATGATGAAAGACAATGGTATTTTAGAGCTAGAGTGACACCACATTTAAAAGGTATTCGGCACATGAGCCTTCCCTTAATTTTTAGTTGAAGCGGCACTTTTGTTAATTGTGGTTCATAACTCATGCAGTAAAGAAGTTTCCCAAGTTTAAACGTGATACCAAAAATAATGGCCACTTCAAGTGACTCACTTGTCCTAATTGTTTTTGACACTTATCAGTTTATCACAGTTAAAGGCGTAGGAGGCGTGAGGATTATTTTAAATACTTCAAATATACAGCCCCGACGGCCGCCCCCCGTGTACGTGTTCAAGCCGTGTTCAAGTCGTCGCGCTATTGTCAACTTGTTTGTTGCTTCTGCCAATAAAGTTAAACGGCTCCTTAAGATATCATGATTTTAATTGAGTCACTACTGACGGTCGGGAATGTCGGTTTTCACAAAGGAACGTAGTTCAAATACTGAAGATTGTAAAGATTAAACGCTCTGGAGCGGTAAAACAGGTACTAGTTGGTACCGGCTTTGTGCTTAATGTAGAAACCGTGTCACGTGATCTGAGCAACTTAGTCACGTGATATGACATACTCAGTCACCGTTTAGGACGGAATATGCGGAATATGGTTTTAATTTATTTCTTCAAAATTGAGATTTTACCAAATATTGTAATTTGTAACTGCAGCAAAACTTCAGAGAAAGTTATAATTTCTTGAGATGAACACTCACTACGTATAAGTATAACTTTCCTTTACGTGTCAATCAATTGAATAAATAGTTAATACCTCAAATAATAATCCTACATCCCAGATAAAACCGTACGACTTCATCGCCGCAGACGCTAAAGTAGTAGTCTACAACCCCACGGTTGAGCAGATGTACGCTCCCCAGCTTGGACCCTCTAACCCCTTCAAGACGCAGCAAGCTGCTGCTCAGAAGAACATGTTCTGTGGTTTTGTTGAACAGACTGGGGTAAGTTGATTGTTCGATTTCTCGGTCACGTGCTGATTTACACTCTCAGTGCAGAAGTGGGGAACATACAATTTCGGTAGCTCTAGCTGAGATTAATCTCAATTAATGGCATAAGGCTGGTAGCGTAATTACATTGTCAATTAAATACAAATTATCAGATGCCAGGTGGAGCAGCTACTCGCTAAACTGATCACTATTTAATTGATTATTGGCCCACTAAATTCCTACATACACCAGATGGGTCCTTACTTAACTCCAATCGGCGAATTCCATTTCATTCTCAACGTGGCAAAATAAGGATATTTCCTTGGTTAAAACCCTTAAATAAGTGGCCCTTTAGGCGTTGTAAATTATAAAATGTTTGTGACCATGCTTTTAAACCAAATTTTTTCCAGGTATCAGAATTCCAGTTTGACGCCCAGCGCAAGACATTCCACACCCAAGGTTATGCAGAAGATCCCACAGCGTACGCACAAACTGTTGGAACAAGGTTTGTGGGTGAGGTGGAGAAAGCTGCAGAGAATGAGGGGCGGACGGTGTTTGAGGATGATAAGGAGAAACCTAAGAAACGGAAGAGGGAACACTTTGGGGATCCTAGTGACCCTGAAGGATACAAAGGTTTGTTTAATTATAGATAAATTTTCGTGCATTAAATGTTTCTTAAAGGGTTATATCTTCCAGCTTCTATATATATATATATATAATAACATCTATAAAAGTATAAACAAAAGAGCACCTAAAGAGGCTCAGCAAAGTGCTGGCCTATTTACGCTTACGAAGACTCATTCGTTCAATATGTCTCACAGTAAATAAACTCCTCCATCCTACTCTATCTCTTGCTAAGTTCACTAAGTTGGTAAAATCATCTTCATTTTTCAAATAAATTTGTCTCTTAAATAGGTCCTTTTTCACAATAATATCATACAAATTAGTCCTGTGTCTACCCACTCGTCCCTTTAGTGTTTGACATCCTAGTGTAGCAAATAACAGAGACTGGTAGGCAGGCGTGTCGTTGTCACTGCGTAGAACATGACCTAGCATTGTCCACCGTGCCTTTTCCACTCTCTCGGAAAGGGGCCTGGTCTGGGTACGAGCGTAGAGGGCCTTGTTAGATATTGAGCTAGGCCAATAGATGTGTAGGATGCGCTTAAGGTGCTTCCTCTGAACAACATCTACAGACTCTAGAACATGCTGAGGTACGGCCCAGCAGCAGCAGTTGTACTACTTTAGGCAGATTGAAAACTTTATTCAAGCTAAGTTAGTTTACATATGAAATATATCTGACTGGCTAAATGACCATCATGATTTAACCGAGTCTTGACCTTCAGGACCGTGGGCAGAATACACAGACGAAGTTAAAAGTAGCGGACCCTCAGAAGAGCAACGTGCCACACTTGACGAATGGGCTGCTCGCAAGGAACCCAAAGCCAACGCCAAACCAGACGAGAACGAGAAATCGATCCTCCATATTGAAGATACCCACGATTACCAAGGCAGATCCTTCCTGGTGGCTCCCAAAGATATCGAAGTTAACCTCTACAACACGGAACCTCCAGAGAAGTGCTTCCTCCCCAAGAAACTCCTCCACACCTGGGACGCGCACAACAAGGGCGTGTCTAAAGTCATTCTCTTCCCTAAAACTGGACATCTCATGTTGTCCTGTGGTATGGATTCTAAGATAAAGCTGTGGGAGTTGTACGGCAAGAGAAGGTGTATCAGAACGTATGCTGGTCACGCTAAAGCAGTCCGTGACATAGTGTTCAGTAACGATGGCAGCAAGTTCTTGTCAGCTTCCTACGACAGGATGATAAAACTGTGGGACACAGAAACTGGGGCATGTTTGTCCAGGTTCACCACCAAGAAGATTCCGTACTGTGTACAGTTCCATCCGGATGACGATAAGCAGCATTGCTTTGTGTCCGGCATGGCTGATAAGAAGATTGTAGGATGGGACATTAACACAGGGGAGATAACCCAGGAGTATGATCGGCACTTGGGTGCGGTTAATACCATCACTTTTATCGAACGAAATATCAGTTTTGTGTCGACATCAGATGACAAGAGTCTCAGAGTATGGGATTGGGATATCCCTGTTGACCGGAAGCACATTGCTGATCCCTCAATGCACGCTATCCCCTCAGTTTCCCTCAGTATGTCCGGCAAATGGCTCGCCTGTCAGAGCATGGACAACAAAATCACAATATTTGCCACTCAGAAACTGAGACTGAACAGAAAGAAAGTGTTCAAAGGTCACATGGTAGCGGGTTATGCGTGTCAGTGTAACTTCTCGCCCGATAATTCCTACCTGATATCCGGGGACGCTGATGGCCGGTGTTTTATTTGGGACTGGAAAACTACGAAGGTTTACAAGCGCTTTAAAGCGCACGAGGGAGTGTGCATTGGGGCTGTCTGGTTACCTCATGAAACATCTAAAGTCGTGACTTGTGGGTGGGATGGCAAGATTAAGTTGTGGGATTAAGAAAATTGTGAAACGCTATTAAAGAATTAACTGAGTACTTTGGCAGTGATATTGTGATGTTGAGTCATGAAGTTATCAGAAAATGGTGATCCAGCAAGAGAAATGAGATTACAGAAATTAAAGGCAACGAAGATGCTCTATTTTTAATCTGAATTTGATATTGTTTTAAGTTTTAACCTATAGTTTTGAATTTTCATGAGTTTAATTGAGCTACTTACCCTCACCCAGACCTAGACATTGTTTATCACAATATAAATGTTCTGTCAACAATTCAAAACACAATTATAAACGTCAAAACTTATAATCTATGTCTGCCAGACAGCAATTTTAACCCATTTTACCCTTCCATTTAGCATGTATTTAGTATGATAGGAGTCGCTGCCGATGTCTCTATAGACGAAGCTAAGCTTATTATCCGAAGGTTACAGCTTGACGCTTACTACTGTCTTGTCAATGCCTTCAGGGCGTCTGGCTATCTTACCAAGACTAAGCTGAGGATACTTCAGGATCTATCTTTATACTTTCAGTAAGTTTTATTTTCTAAATTTTATTATTTGCTTTGGGGTTTATGATTTGAAGTTAGGATTATCATTTTGTTGTTGGGTTGTTTAACTGAAATTTGTAACGTGTCTAGTTGCTGGCTTGTTGTTAGAACTCGTTATCTATTTATTTATTTATTAATCTATGCAGATAGTTCATTGTCTAAAAGTTATGTCATACTTAAACATAATATTTTCAGACTATCAACTGAGAGGCATCAAGCTGAAGTAAGAAGAGCAGTTAATGATGAAGAACTTACCGCCCTAGCTGACCTGTAAGTAATGTTAGATGTGTGTGCTCCCTTAATTTTAAAATGTAGCTGTATGTCTCGTTAATCGTGCATAGCTTTATTTATACGGTTGAATGCAGAGGGTTCCTTCAAATAATTGGAATCGGTCTGGTTAAGAAATTATGATACCAGTCTTGTGATATTGAGCCTGTTTCAAAGTTAATACTTCCTTCTTGACGAAGTAGGGGACGATTCTGGTCTCCCTGATGAGCCTAAGTGGGAAAAAATACATATGTAGTACTGAAGGTTCGGAGCTCAGGAATGCGGTTCATTGTTGTGGCAAATCGCCGGTTACAATTAGAAACGTGTTTAACTGTAGCGGGCGGCGACAATTCTGAGATAAAAGTCAAATCGTTAAGTCGAATAATCTATGCGCATATCGCGCGCGCTGCCGGGGTCTTAAATTTGATCGACGATATTATATTATCAAAATAATGTAGCATGCCTGTGATCGAGTGTTGGCTTGATTACCAGATGTATACTCGTCAAAATCTACTCATATGTTACGGCTACCAGATTGTCGAACCTCTTACCTATAAAACCAGTGATGTCACCTCTCTTGAGCCCTTGTCAGTATCCGGTGCGGAGTTCTTGCGGCGGTTTCCCGACTCAAGTCATCGAGGGCGCGCACTGTTTTCCGGCCCGCGGTCCCGGCCAAACTAATCCAAGATACTCAAAGTAAATGAGCCTTTGAGTCTATCAGACTAGTCATTATAGCACTCATTGTTTGCTTTCCTGTTAGAAGTCGGTCACTCACAGAACAGAAGCGCCCAATATATATTCATGTGACCACAATTAGCACGCCGGCACCACCTTGCTTTATGATCGTTCTCTCTGATAATATGAGAGAGGAAGACCTACAAAAGATTGTTCATCGGTCCTTCTTTGTCGGTCAGCTGCTAAAACATCTCAGTGTGCCCGATCTCAAAGAGGATGAAATTAAGGACACTTGGAACCTGATTGAAGGAATGCTAGAAGTGAGCGGAAAGAAGCCGTAATGTGACTCGGAGTATAGAAGAACAAATGAAATGTTCATTCAGGCGGTTGACTTTTTTCAGGACACCGTGCGAATTGGATACAGACGGTAGCAAAGGAATTAAGGGCTCAAGGACAGGGTCGATTTCAAAGACATGTCCATTTGTCCTGCCAGCTCATTATTCATTAAAAGAGCCAAAGTTAGACTTGAAGCAGAAGTTCTCAGTTGATCCGAAAACTAAATACTTTTGACAATCTCCGGGTTGAGTAATCACTGTTGCTTTTGATTAGTGTGTGTAATGTGTGTGCGTGTGAGTAATGTGTGTGTAATGTGTGTGCGTACGTGTGCGTTCCTAGAGTCACTAGTGTAACAAACTGTAATTTATTGTATATGTATACTATATATCACGCTCTAGATCGCCGAAGTTCGGAAAAGAGAGCTTTCCCATTATATTATGACTACAAAAAACAAACAAAAAAGCATACTAAACCCACAATTTCCACCACAACTCTATCTAATCCCAACACAAAATCAAACTAAACCACCTCAACTTTCAGGGTGACTAAAGATGACTCCTCGTACGAGTGGATCTGTGAGGGTAGACATCCTGTACCGGTCTATCTAGAGGACACGTCCTACAAGCTCCCCCGATATGTAAAGCTACGTAAGGAGAGTGTCAAGAGCGAGAAAATCAAGGAGAAGAAACCATGCAGGTAAGTCAATGATCTTTAATGAATGATGAAATACACAGTTATGAGTTTGAATTTTTTTATTTCTCGAAATTATATCGATTAATTACCCTGTCTAAGTAGAAAGAACTAAAACGAAACTTGACCTTTTTTAAATTTGCAGTGTGGTACCAGTGGTTAATACCCCTGTTAACTTGAGCAAGGGTACCCAAACTCCGGGCATAAAGAAAGAGCCAGGAGAAAAAGAGAAAGTGGATATTAAACAAGAGGAAAATAGTATCGCCTCCCTTCTTTCTACGACACCGGTTTGTGGCTCTGAGTTATTTGAACCCACATAAATAGCGAAAAGATCAATTTAATGATCCTCTGTAATCGAAACTTTCCCCAAATCATTTTCTCATTTTATGAAAATGAAAGTCACGAGGACTTTCCGATGAGAAATCTTCCTATATAATAGTCTTTCTCAACAGGACATACTGGATGCGTTAGAGATTGAGCGCATTATCGAGGACTGTGGAGATTCCTTGCTCATGTACATTCCACTTGACAAGAAACCAAACCCACAAGAACTGGAGATACCAGCACTCCCGGAGATTCCACTGGTCATTCCGGTTAGAGTTGGTAAGTTTCACTTTGATAGCCTTTATTGAACGTTTAGTTTGTAATTGCGGACTTTTCATACGCCGTTAATTGGTTATTCCATTCTGTGGATTCTCTGGTCATTCGTCTTGTTCGTCTTGTTTCAAGCACTATTTCTTTGAAAAGAGAAGAATTTTATCAGAGGAACACGATTAGAAGTAAAAACTCGGAGAAGTTACCAAACCAGTTTGTTACAAAACGGCAAAACATACGAATTTGCGATATACAAAACCTTTCTATGTCTCAAATTGCAGACACTCATAACAAAATTAACTGCGTCAAAGACTTTAAATCAAAACCCGAACAGATCAATCAAAACAAAACTTAGAATATTAATTTTCGCTCAAAGAAGGTCTAACATTTTTGTTCGAAATATGACATTTTGTCATTGGAATCACCCCCTAAGCAAGCCCTTTTTTCCTTTGGCACCCAGTTTTTTCTGTAAATTAGGTGACTTTTTTAAGTAGACGTGAGAATACTGTATCGGCTCCAGAGTGTCATACATTAGACCTCTTGTTCTCCTTCTAGTGAACGACTGACCGTCCTGAAAATGTGCGTGTTGTCAAAAATAACAATCTGTTCATCAGAACTACTCTCCTATCCATGCTATCCATGCTATCCATGCTATCAAGTATGAGGAGCTATGTTTTAGTCTAGCAAGACTTTGGTAGCCTAAATTAGTAAATTACCTACGTCAGTAATAAATTTCCTATGACAGCAATAAAGTCCCACAATAAAGTCCCCCAGATTTGAACTTACTTTACTAAGACCTGGAAGCTCATAGTTCTGCGTAAGTGGCATTATGAACCTATTACCAGTCAAATTAGCCACCACGTTAGAAACCTGGAACACTTTCTTCATCTTGGGGTTGTAGTTGTAGAGTCCTTGTAATGCTTCTTCCTCTTTTCCCACTTCCTGAAACAACCGGTCATTTTACTTTCGAGATATTATTTGGGTGTTAATATCTCATCAAAATCAAATTCAGAAGATATATGTTGAGAAAGTCTGTCGTTTCAATTTGTTCATGTCTTAATAAAAGTGACAGTGAGCATTATGAAGTTAGTTTACCTCAAGCATGGATATCAGTGCATGTTCTGGCCGATCACCGCCAGAATCACCGCCCCCTTCACTATTGCCAGAGTCACGCCGTTTCATCATCTGCATCATCCGGGCAGATCTCAATAGTTCTGCCATTGCACTGGCTAGTTTCATGTTAGGAGCACCTGGTCTGAAATTTGAGTAGAGTTAGGGAGGGGGAGCGGGGATGGTAAATACAGGCAAATGTGATCAATGGACATCCTCGGTACATCTGCATTGTTAAAATAAATGCTAGTAGTGTGATTAAATTCGCAATCGGGAACGCTGGTAGTATTTAAGTACATCCAAATACATTTTGGACCCTTATGTTTGGAATGCTATATTCATTGAAACACTTACCCTTGACCTTTGGATTTAGCTTGAGGGATAAGGTTTGTGAAACTTGGAGAATCTGATTGAAAGCCGCTATCAGGGGTGGTTGATTGTCGGTTCTTATTAGCCTGTCTCATAGTTGGAGCCATAGACTTCCACAGACTTCCTTTTTTTGTACCTCCCTCTCCTCCTCCCCCTCCTGCTCCCCCTCCTCCTCCTCCTACTCCCGCACCTACAGCTCCCCACAAACCTCCTTTTTTTGCCTCTCCTCTTGCACTGTCCGAACCTTTACGGGTTTGTGATGAAGGCGATCCCGTTTTACTATCAGCAGATTGTCTATCTTTTGAGGATTTTCTTCTTACAGTTTTAACTTTCGTAGTTGCAGAATTTGTTTTTGCAGTCTTGTTCGCACTTAACGGCTTTCTTTTTGAAAGTATTTGTTTGGTTGGTTTGGAATTGACTTGATTGGTTTGTGAGAGGTTAACATTTGTTTTTGGGACGATGATGACGCGTTCTGTTCGGGGGTAGGTGACAGTGCCTGTTCCATCTCCACTAGGGTCTCAGACGAGTCTGTTATCTTATCGTCCGAGAAATCTTCTGATGATGAATCGTCATCCTCTTTCTTGCTCTCTGTAAATACACGAAATTAATTGAGGTTAAAAAAGTTGTAGAGGTACAATAATTTGAGTTGTGAACAAACCGGGGGGGGAGGTTTGTCAAAAGACCCACCCACCCCCTTCGCGGCTTTTGCCGTCTTTTGTGGTACTAACTGTGTTGAGAAATCACGGTACTAACTGTGTCTTGGTATATGAAATAAGATACCCACCCATAAATTGCTTTAAACAGCTCATTAAAAATTGGGAAATGGGCAAAAAAATTGGGAAAAAATGGGGGGAAAATGGAAAAAAATGGAAAAAACCCCAATAAAACCTCAAAACCCAAAAACTCATTCCCAAAATTGAAATTTGAGGTGAAATGGTTTTTTTTTGGGTTGGAGACCCCCCTTAGTACCATGTACTAACTGTTTTTCTGGGAAATGTACCATGTACTAACTGTGTCTTGGAAGAAAATATGACCCACCCACCCCCCCCCCCCCCCCAACGTCACGTACGATACTAAGTGTATGATCCCCCCTCCCCCGAACAAACTAGAAGTAGCAGAGGGTAGATTACCTCGAGAATCCATGGGCCTCTTCCCCGGCGGTTTAGGATTTTCAGCGATTTTCTCCAAAGAGTTGGTAGAATTTGAAGCGGCTGCTGCCACTCGAAGTTGTTTGATAAGCTCCTGAATCGCATCTGGCCTGAGTCTGTTTTTGTCGAACAGAGATCGAACGGGATCCAAAACTTGCGAATTCCGCGAACTTCTTATACTGCGTCCTGAAAGCTTGAATTGTGTTTTATCTCAATTGCCTCAAAGATTTTATTCTGTTCATGAATCACGTCTTTACGATCGATCAATTTTGTTTTATCCTGACTTGTAATTAGGTAGAATATTAAATTAACAAACTCAGCTAATTAAATAATTAGCAAACCTCCTCGTCTAATAGTAGAAGAAGCGACCTTTCTACCACCGCCGTGGTGGTACATCCACCTATCTTCCATTTTCATACACAACTGACTTTTCTTAGAGACTGTTGTTTGTGGGATTATTGTCTCCGCAAGCATTTCAATCTTATCTGAAGGAGGCTGAATTAGAGATAATGCCTATTTCTTAGAGATAATGCCTATTACTAAATTAGAGATAAGTATTACTAACTGTACAGTTTTATGCGGGTATGTTTCATCAGAGAGATAAAATACACAAGTCACAGTTTTGGCCCGTTCTGTCAAAAAGAAAGCAGCCTTCTTACCTCTACTGGACAGATCTATGCCAACCCCTCGGGGCCCGGGCCCTGCCATAAAGTTGAAACTGTCAGGAATGCGGGCCGTATGGCCCCCTATGTTCCTATCCCCTGTCACCTGCCAGGCCATCTTCCTCTTTGCTATCCCCCACTTCTTCATCTCAAATCTGAAGAGAGGAATGTTTAAAAACTTTGATTTACGTAGTATGCCGAATAAAACACTGTAAGCTTAATTTTTCTGTAGTTAAAACTAACTTTCTGATAATATAATCAATCCTGCATGAAGACATCCATCCTATCTAACAGTCAATGAAAATATTTAATAAAGAAGGATAAAACTTTATCATAATATGCATCACAACGGCCAGAATTTAAACATTTTATTCCACTCTGACCTATTGTAAGCAACATGACGAACACCTTCTAGATATAAATGGTAATGAAGTGATAAAATGATGAATATACTATGCATGAATTATAATATTGATTAATTAAATTTGGTTAAGATCCGTGAATAATAAATTTTCTAAGTCTGGTGTGCGTGTGGGCCGATATGATCTGGAAAAATATCGTTACCAGATCGTGAATGGTCTTGATGTTCAACTTATCTTGATGGAAATCATAATTTGATATTCCAGTAAATGATTCTTAAAAATATCCGGTGCGTCTTTCTTATCCCTCCTGCCAAACTCGAATACCTATCCTGTTTAAGATCTTAAATTCCCAACCTACATCTCCTTGAAAGAAGCTAGAAGCTCAGGAAAAAACTCCCAATCTTGGAAGAGCATATTGGCTTCTATCAACTCGTCGGAGCCCTCCATTTGATAGGAAAAAATTATTTTATCAGAAACTTCCAGAAGACTGTTCAATAACACTAACGGCGGTGGTTTAATCGAATTCTCATCTGCGCTAATACACTGATACAGAGTAAGAAATCCCGGCCGTAACAAAAAATATAAACCGATCGAAGGATCTATCGAGAAGCAACTACTCGGTATATTGAATTTGATATATCCCAGCATATAGTAGTTTTACGGGCTAATTCATCCTTATTTACTGGCTATACTATGTTGACATGTCTCGTGATCTTATTCCACTCATATGATTCGTTGGTTTGTGTCACGTGATTTGTTTACAGTTCTCAGATTGGCTGGCCGGTCTGAATAGGTCCAGGGAATCCGAATTGCTTGTCGCCTTCAGGTTGATTAGTTTAGTGATCCGGGACGCTGGCAGGATTGTTTATGCTTCGGGACGAGGCCAGTCAGCCTGAGACAAATTAATAAGATCCTGTCCAAGTTTGAAGTGAGAAAAACCACGCAATTTTCACAACATTTTACCGACGTTGGTATGTTAAGCATGACATTGACGCGTAGAGTACATTATTATATAAGTATCTTGAGTTTAAGCTGTTTTCCAAGAAACATTTTAAGTACGCACAACGGTTAACAACACAACGCTCCAACGAGTTCGGAGTTGAGGCCATACATCTGATCTCTGGTTTTTTGTGTTACAGACAATGTGTCCATCTCAAAATAAGGGGTTCTCCCGAATAAAACATACGTTACAAACATGAAACAGCGAAACAGCCACACTACAAAACTTATCACCTTAACACTACTCGAGACTAAGTGAAGCCGGACCCTATCTCTGCCAGATTTAAACTTCCGCAGAACTCACTACCAACCAATAGGACCCGTGATTCTTTTGAACTTTGAGTGATCGAACCGTGCTCATCGGAAATTAGCCTAAAATTGATTGTTTTACCTCCCGGATTGGCGATGTATTCCTTGATAATTGGGATCTAGTTGGCTCGGTAACATGAGAGAGACAAATTATTTGCTGGACGTCAAAATTATGCGCTCTTAGAAAACCTCGTTGTTTTGTTGTGATGTTTAGAGGACATCTATACTCAGGTTCTGTGGAAATGTGTCCTTTTCTTTACAGAATACTAGAACTCTGAAAAAACAGAAACAATGAAATATTAACCTCATGTTTTTATCGTTTGCAGGAGAAGAGTTCGGTAAGATGATTCTAGAACAAGTTCGGAACACAAAAGATCAGACTGGACACATCCAGATTCCACTGGACTTAACCAGGATCACTAAGGAGAGGCTAGAGAAGAAGATAAAACAGAGACAACGGAGACCAAACAACCTGGCTCTCACTGATGGTGAGTTTTTCTAATTTTGAGAGCTGAATATTCTGGAATCACACGACACAGGATATATATCAAAGAAAAACCGAATAGGCATCGTCAGTATCCAGCAAGTACATGGTAGAAAAATTAAACATCAAATAAGTTTATTTTGTTTTGAATATTTCCACGTGCGAAGTTGATATGTATGATATAATATGTTATAAATATAATATATTGTATATATAATATGTTACCAATTTCATCATGTAGTCGCTTATATTAGCAATACAGTTGTATTTTAAGCATACCTTGAATATTTTGTTGTGGCTTTCTCAAATCAACGGCTGCCTATCAAATACAAATATGCGGTTTAGAAAAATATCTAAGCAACGGCTGCCGATCTAGAAAAATATCTAAGCAACCAAACTTTAACTTGATCAAACTTCACGGCCAATTAAATCGAAAAATCGTGAGACTGTAGCAGTATTTCAATAAAGCGTTAAGTAACCATTCGTGACAGAGAAATTAGTGTTAATCTACAATAATATGCAGGTCTGGTCGCGCTGCTACACTATTTCACTGTACACTTGGGTGGTCACGAAAACAAACAGACACTACTTGAGTCGTCAAAAGGCAAATTTCACGTATGATTTCGATGTCGAGAGACTCTCTCGAGAGAACCGATTACATTGTTTGTACACACTCGAGTCACAACTACTCGCAGTACTCAGTACACACTCGTTACAGAGTAGCAACTACTCGCAGTACACAGTACACACTCGTTACAGAGTAGCAACTACTCGCAGCGAACAAAATGCAGTGAAAACATCTCAAACTGCATTTAAAACGTGAGATTGTTCTAGAGAGCCCTCATGTGATATAATTATTGATTGTAAACACTTAAATCGTGACTGCTTTTGTAAATCCAAAGTACAGAGGCAACACACGGTGCATGTTGGTAAAGCTCAGTGGTTAGGTTGGTATTTTAAAGGCGTGTGTGGTTTAATAGTGCAAATGATTGTGGTTTAATAGTACAAAAGAATCTGGTTTGATATTACCGATACGTGCGTTGTCATAAAACACAGTGAGTAGATTAAAAAATAAAATAGGTATTAAAGATATGCATCAAAAAGTATAATGGACATTAAAATCATGGGTTAAAAAGTGTAATATAATAAGATCAACCTAAGTCGGGACCACTTACTTCATAGTGGCCGTGGGGTTTTCGGCCGTCTTCGTGTCGGTCATTGCTAGACTTGGTGGCCAGATTGTGTGCTATTCCCAGATAAAATGAACCTCAATGGTCATGTTGCGGGTCCAGTGTGGTTTCCAGCGCAAAAAACTATCAAGAAAAAACTAAACTCTGTCATCGACAATTTTACCGCAAAATAATAGAGAATAAAACCTTTTTAAACATGCCTGAGAATATCATTGATAATGTTTTAATACCTTTTCAAGCTAGCATTAAATCATGTAGAAAACGTTTGGATGCTGTAGCTAGAAAAGAACATATATCCAATAAACTGCGGTTAACATTTTAAAAGGGTGTGGTCTATCGATACTTACTAAAACTATCGTCAACACGCACAAAGTGATACAATATACGAATATCAATCATGGCTATGACTATTGACGAGACGTTTTTACTGTTTTCGCCACAACAATAACCATCATATCCTTCCTGTATCCTTCATATTTTCCTGGAAAAATCTCCCTCGAAACAGAAACTCAACCGTTGCAAAAATGAACGAGTCACGTGACTGCAATAAAACTGGTGACAATGGATTATTCATGTTATTGAATGACGTTTAAATTAGCCGATATAACTGTATGGGAGATCTTGAGCTACCGGTAACAAGTAACAGGTGGCACTTTCTTTAGTATTGCTTCGTGAGGTAGCAGGCAAGACACGTTTAATCACGATAACATGATCTTCATACTGATGTGTGATTATCATGCGTATCAAACGAGACAAGTGTGCTTGGGAAATTGTGTGTCCGAAAGTGGAAAGTCGGCGATCTGTCTTTTCTATTTTGAATCTAATATGAATAAAGAAAGAACACAGATGATTTCTGAGAAAAACTGAATCCGGGGCCCACGTAAATTTCTTTGACGTTAAGTAAAATCGCCGCTTACAGAACACAATTTAAAAATAAATGTAACAATTAAAGAGAAAGTCAATTCTGTGCTATAAATAGTGTTTTAAGAGATGGTTTTATAACCCATTCTTCGCAGGGTCTGGAGTACCAGGGGTTAAGAGACGGAGGAAGAAGGGGGTGCTACCCCCAACAGCTAGTCCCAGCATGCACAGTATGTTAGAGCACGGTGACCTGGGACCTACCCTCACAACCCCTGAACCACCTACTGATCACCTTCTCAATAAGGTAAGAAAACAGAAAAACAGAATATAAAATGTTCGAATATCATAAGATTTAAGAAGGGCAAAATTGAGGATACCCTCCCACGCCTTACTTTAGACAGTGTCCCGTCTACAATCCAATTACTATACGATAATCTCATCTTCTCTCTTCGCTGACTCGGGTTGGTACTCAGCGCGTAATCATTTTTAGATTGGACTGTACACAATTTGGGTTTTTAATCATGAGAAGTGGGAATGTCAAGATTATCTTGGCTCTCCAGTGAACTACCCCACAGTCCCTCCAAATATAAGTCTATGGAAAACATTGCAAAGTCACCATGAAATATAAAGCTGCCAACAATCTGAAAGTCACCAGCTTTACTGTTTTAGTGAAATAGAAATCGATCGGTTATAATCAATCCACCAACAATAAGGAATCCTCCAGCCACTAGGAATTCACTCATCAAAAGAAATCCGCCAACCGAAAAAATACCGCTTACAATGAGTAATCCTCCGACTTTCATAAAGTCGCTGCTAATTAGAAGTCCACCGCCCAAGAAAAACCCTCCAGCCATTATCAATATACCAGGCATTGGTAATCCACCGCTGATTAAAAATCCACCAACCCTAAAAAGTCCTCCCGCCATTACAAATCCTCCTGTCATTGAAAATCCACCAGCCATGAGACATCCTCCAGCTATGAGAAATCCGCTGCTTATAAGGAATCCACCAGCGGTTAACGAACCTTCAGCCATTAAAAATTCACCGAGGTTAAAACATCCGCCAGCCATTACAAATCCACCAGTCTTATGCAACCCACAAGCCATTAAAAATACACCGACTGCTATAAATCTGCCAGACATCAGAAATCCATCTGCCATGATCATAAGAATTCCATCCGTCCAAATGCATCCTCCAGCCTTGAGATATCCTCCAGCCAATAAAAATGCGCCTGGCATTAACAATGCTTTAGCCATAAGAAACCCCTTACCTTTTGATTAAAGTTGATTCTGTCAAAGAAAATACTCCTTTAAAAAGGGAACATTAATTCAAATGAAACACAGGATAACAAATACGAGAAATGATAGCATCATAAGAATTAGATCGCGCTCAACAATTCGGTTACCTGATACTTATGATTACATCAGTTATAAAGAGGGTACTGACGAAAGTTTAAGCTCTTATCGTCCACAGCTTCATGTAATATTATATCCAGTTCAACCACGCTTAGATTGTTAACGCCTTTTTGATGAAAACTTCAGTACCAGGACTAATCCAGGGGTTATCTCCTCAGGTTATTTACAAATTTCGCATACGCCTCAGACCAAAATCATCATTTTTCCTGCAACTTAGTTTCCGGTTGTATCACGGATATTTATTTAGATTTTGTTATTGGGATCGTTCAGTGTTACATACATTGCGAGAAAAGGGACAAAAAAGACAAATATAATATTAACTCAAATTGTAAATCGAACATGACTGGAATATTTAATCAATAATAATATTTAGACAATAGACAATGATGGAATAATACTGAACACTGGAAATACTTAAAGTGTACAACTACATATCAATTCGAGAGCGAAGTTTCTGTTCACGTTTCAGCGATACACTGATCTGAGCCACTCGAGATTGCTCGAGATTCTCTAACAAGTCAGGTACAACTTAAAAGAGCGCACCTGTCATAACATCTGGTCCCCTCCTCAAGTTTCCTCATTTTGCTGGCACTCTCCCATGAAATAGTATAATTTCAGATCAGGAAAATCTCGGCTTATGTGATTTTTAACTTTGGGTTGCTCATTGTAGCACTGCTTCAAGACGAAATGCCGTTAGCTGTGACTGGTTTTTAACCTATTGTCTGTTTTCGTAGTCTAAAGAATACACCTGACCGACTCTTGGTGCATTTTAAAACCTAAAGATAGCAAAGTTAAACTCCTTCTCTTGAATGATCAGGATTGTTCTATCTTGCTCGTTGATGTAGCTTGCAAGTCCATTACTCACAAAAGTGCCGTATTACATCTTGGTAGTGTTGGTAGCTGATATCAATGTAACTGATAAGCGAGCATATTATACGCTAGATTTAAAAAAATGCTAGATAAATTGCTGCAGCTGAAAAGTTTGCAACTGTTAAAATTAAAGTGGCACTCTAGTTCAGGCCTGGTCAGTGGTCTCTGTTATCATTTAGATTTATCTTTCCTGGCAGAGTCTGACCCTGTTCACCTCCTCAGCAAGGTACGAAACATTGAAACAGCTTTTCTCAGGACATGTCGGCCATTGGAAATATTTTTCGAATTATAAATCCACCACCCATCGATAATGTTCCTGCAAATCCTCCAGCCTTTTGAAAATCCCTTTTTATATAGAAATAGATATAGTTTTGTAAGTATGAATCGACCGACAAGAATAGCTACGCCTGCCACCAAGAAATCGCTGACCATAAGAAATCCTCCAACGATAACAATTCCACTTACTATAAGAAATCCTGCAGCCATCAGAAATCCACTGGCCAGTAAAAATCCACCTCCCATTAAATATTCTCCAGCCATGATTGCTAATCCACCAGTTATCATGCATCCCCCTCCTTTGAGGAATTCGCCAACCATTAGAAATCCACCTCCCATTAGAAATTGGGCTGCCATAAAGAATCCTCCGGCTATAAGAAATCCTCCAGCTGTTAGAAATCCTCCACTCATGAGGAAACCACCAACAATCAGGAAGCCGCTGGAAACTAAAAGTCCACTGACTATAAGGTAACCTCCAGCCATGAAAAATGTTCCTGTCTTTTGGTAACCAAACGTCATTAAGAAAACCCCGACCATAATAAATCCACCAGCTGTCAGAAATCCTTCAGTCATAAAAATCCCAGGGATCGGAAGAAATCCTCGAGCCATCAGAAACGCACCGGCCATCAAAAATGCAGCAGGCATTAAATATTTATAAGTCATCTTCCGTCTTTTATCCACTATGGTAAAGTTGGTTCTGTTAATCTAGCAAATGAATACCTTAGTTCGTTTAATTATGGCGGGTTAAATTTGGCGGTTTTTCGGAAATTCCGCCATATTTTAGACCCGCCATAATAAAACCCGCCGAGTCAACTTTTGGAGTTCTGACAGGGTATATAACATAATAATTTTATTACATTGAAACAAGCGTCATGAACTCACTTTCTAGGAATTGCGACCATAACGAGGTGATTTTATTATAAAAATTCAAATAATTTGGTTGTAATGGACGAACAAGCACTGTTAAATGATTGTTATTGTGCTATGATACTTATTAACTACCTTACTCGGGAATATTATAGCGGGTTAATTTATGACCGGGAAAAATAATGACCGGGAAAAATATGGCGGACTTTCCCAAAACCCGCCAAATTATCCCGGTCATGTATTTACCGGTGGCCGACCTTTCAAGTTTTTTTTAGAGGTCAACAAATTTTCAACCGAAATTTCTGTTTTTGTTACTTGTTAAAGAAGTTATTTCAATTTACAGTTACGGGTATCGGCCTTACAAAATGACAGGCCTCACAAAATGACAGCCCACATAGACCATGCTGTAGCTTAGGTTCCCTATACATTGAACCCTATTCCTTTTACTGTATGAAAGAAAAAGCATTAATTAACACTTCCCAAGGAATGATAATGACATAGAATCTATATTTCTTACATAAATATGGACGTTTTTGCTGTTCAGTCATTGCCCCGTCAAACTGTTACCCAGCATGGAGACCAAAGTTTAGAATTTAACCCCAGAAAACCAGGTACTACCATGACTTATGTCAATCAAAGACTACTCTGGTCAAATAAAAAAACTGATTTAGTGACTTTGGTAGAAGAAATGAAATCATCAATTTTGATCAAAATGCCTCACAAAATGACACCGAAAAGCCTTACAAAATGACAATGTTTCAGATTGAATTACTTTCATCATCTAAAATGGATCAGAAACAGCCAATACAAGAAGGGGTTACAAATAATCATAATCTGACAGTTAACAATCAAGTAGCATTAAAAAAGTGCAGTTCTGATATCAAAACTTTGATTTCAAACTCTTTGATTTCAAACTCTGATTTCAAAACTCAACGAAATAAAGCTTCTATTTTGTGAAAGCAGAGAGTAATAACAACTCCTAAAACATGTCAAACGTTAACTAAACACTGAAAAGTGATCTATCCAGTCATAGAAAATATCAAATATAACCAAATACTGTGTTCAAGTATGAAAACAAAAAATAATTTTTACGCCTCACAAAATGACATTTTTAAAATTTTTTCAAAGTATAAAAAATGTTCCTTTTTTAATATATTCTAGTAAAAACAGAACTGGTATAATATAAACAACATATATATCTAACAGTAAGACACGTGAAAGAATAATGAAACTTTTTCCCAAATCGGATTTGAAGTGATGCCGTTTTGGGTTGTCATTTTGTAAGGCACGCGAAATTGCCCAACTTTTTTAATCATCCTTTTTCCTGTAAAAGCTATTCTAATCTTCAATCTATTATATTTATCTAACTGCCCTAGGTGAAATCAAATTTCTATAGGCTGCTGTTAAAAAATGACAGCCGTGACGGAATTGTCATTTTGTAAGGCATGTTTTTTTGGAAGATTTCAAAGATGACAATTTGTATCGCAAAATTTACGGTTTTTCAATCAAATCAACCCCCGGGAAGAAAAATATACCTGTTGAACTACCTATCTGGATAATAAAACAAGAACAAAACTCATTTTTGTGCATTTCAGAGCCATCTCCTTTTTCGTGTCATTTTGTAAGGCCGATACCCGTATATTATTATTGATATTACAGTTATTGATATTACTATCTACGATTCACTGATTCATGGGCAAGAGAAGTGAGAATCACGGTCCACCCTGAAATCTGATTTCTATAACCAAATTGTGATTTTTATAACGAAATTATGGTAGCAACCGCCAATAAAGTTACAGCCCTCCATCCACTGCTTCAAAAGTCTTCTCTAGCACATATGAGACTTCAGGTAAAATATGATGATCACCACCCCCTTGGAACCCCATAATCTGAGTCGGCGGGTTTTTTTATGACTGGTAAAATTTTTGACCGGGAAAAATATGGCGGAATCTTCCAAAACCCACCACTTTATCCCGGTTATAATATTCCCGGGTAAGGTATTCAAACTTACTTCCTATCCATATCAACAGAGATATTATACTAAAATACTTTTAATTTTAAATGTTATTTTACTGCAAACAAAAACGCACTCTGGAAGGAAAATTGGGTAGAATTTTGCAATATGGCAGGTAAATTCGGTGGATTTTCAAATTTTGCCTGAAAATAATGTTACAGGTAAATAGGTAGCGGGTTAAATTTGGCGGATTTTCGGAGAATCCACCATATTTTTACCCGCCATTATTTTTACCCGCCAAAATATTACCCACCATAAATTAACGAACTAAGGTACTTCCAAAATGCGTGGGCAATATGAAATAAGAAAAAAAAATAGTGTCTTCAAATCCAACAGAACAGAAACAAGAAGCAAATGATGATCTAATACAAATTTTCTGATGACCTAATACAAATTTTCTGGTGACCTAATATAAATTAGCTGGCACCCAACCCTGACACCCGATACTTCCAATCAAATAATATCAGTCGAAATTGTGCTCCAACTGTTATCTGTTAATATCAAGATCTGGGGTGATAGTTTATTTTTGTATGACGTTACGTAATATCAGGCCACTATGATCACGCCGTTTGATGAAAATATTTCCAGGACATCTTGGTAAAAGTTGGACCCCCTCCCGGACCACCGCTTCTAACCAAAGCTCCTCCTTACGATTTGGTAAGGAGGAGTCTATCACAATATATATTTTATATTTATAATTTTAGACTTCAATAATGGTTCGGAAACTTAATTAGATTTTCATCAGGTTTATAAACTAATTAAACTTATCCGTCCAGCAATCTCCAAGTTTTCACGGGTTGCAGCCCCCGATGCTCCAGAGAATGCCCGGTGTACCCGTTTCTGGTATGGCAGGGGTCCAGTCCCCCATCAAGAGCTCATACCCTCCTTCTACCCTCATCTCTCCCTCTAAATCTTCATATAGCCAGGTAATTCTTTACTTTTAGAAACAGTCCATGAAAATATTTGATAAAAATACTGTTATTATCAATTTCGATAGAAATTAGAAACCATAGTCCATACTGTATGGCTTCCTGTCTCTGTATTTCTCAACTTTTTCCAGCTCCAATTTCACCACAACCTCCAACAGGGAGCCAAGTCATCCAGTTCACCTCATACTCCGGGTCTCCTCCGGTTCCGGAGCTCGGAGGATGAAGCCTCCCGGAGTGGCACGGACCCTCTTAAAACTCCGGAGATGCTCACTCAGGAACAACGTCACGCCCAGGTGAGACGTTTAATTAGGCTCTGGTCTACCTTCCACGCAGTCACGTGATCTACGAACAATTTTGACTATCTGTTTGGCGTTCTAGGCTATTCCTAACTCATGAGTATTACTAGGGAATCTCTAGTATTCTGCATCTCCATTCTGTCCAAAAATATCTCAAATACCTGAATGAAATGCCGTATACATGCTCTGCGCCCTCTTTGAGGACACATTTCTCATGCCTTGGCTGTCAACATGTAGGATCTGGGGTGTTGTTGCCAACTTTATCTCATGAAGCTTTCGTATTGTGTTGATTTCACTTTTAAATCCTTTGTTTTCGGAAAAGCGGTAATTTCTGAAGACAAATACAATAGACGTATTTTTTATTCATAGTACATGATTGTTCAGTGATCATGTACTGTGAATAAACTGTGGTTGTTCAGCATTCTAATCTGGTACGGTGGTATGTAAATTTTGCAACTTTTAGCTAATAATTGTTTTTAGGCTCGATTTTTTATTTTGAATGAAGGCCAACGGACACTTTCACCGAATAATTGCATTATAAATTATACATTTCTAAGTTTCTTGACGAACAAATCTGTGAATTACAATTTCTTCCGGGCATTGTATCCCCGAAAGGTAGTGAGCACTTAGCGCAAATAACTGTATTTGAGTCTTCATATTATCCAACACCCATTTACCACATCACAGTCAGACTCTCTGACTCAGAGAGAGAGAGAGAGAGAGAGAGAGAGAGAGAGAGAGAGAGAGACTGTTGTGTACGGTATATCATGATAATACCTCCGATCTTAATTGTGCGTGTACAGATGATTTGCGAACTTCACATTTACAATTTGATGAACACTGGCACGTGCGCGCGTCTTCAGAATAATCACGTGACCAGACAGCGTGAGAAACGCAGCCTGTCCTTGTTGGCACTTGGCACGGCTCCAAGTTCTTTAACTCCGTTCAGTTTTTGATTTTCGCCATTGTAGTAGAAAACGTTCCTGAAACATTCAGTCAGATACTATCCAGATATTATCCAGATGTTATCATGATTATGATATGTATTTAAATGGATTGCTCCTTGTCTCAGAAACAGTGGGCAAGTAGATCCGAGGTGGCGTGGCAGGAGCTGTCCAGATCAGAACCCAACTCTATACAAGTTCAGCGACACTTCAGCCAGCAGAAGGAGGGTGGCACTGATCCACTGGGTAAGAGGAAATATAGTGGTGGTCAGGAGATACATCTTCTTACTAGAGAACAGTGGATTAGCGACCATATTCAGAGTCATGTTGCAGGTTTGTTCTACTGAAATTCAAGATATAGCTGACCTTTTTTCTTGAATTTTGCCCTATTTGTTATCGGTAATTGTAGCGAAAGGCTTAGTTCCTGTTTACGATTTTTGCATTTTATTATTCTGACAGACAATGACCATGTTTTTGATCACTAATTCCCCTGTTTTCAGGAGCCGCTAAAGAAACAGAGCAATTGACTCCTGAAAGAGCGCTAGAAAGTGTGAAGGAGTCTCAAAGAATGAAAATAGCTGAGTTGGAATCCGAGAGGAGCCGAACTGATGACTCTGAAAGGAGAAAAGAGGAAGAAAGGTTTGTCTCCATGGGGTTTGTTTCAATGACAAGAAAAATATCTTTTTTATCTTTTAAACGAATAAGGGGCGATGGCATATTATTCAGGGTGGGTTAGTGATGGAGGTCCTGACGTTGACGTAGAGGAACAGCCAGTGCTTTTTATTTGATATAAATCACTGCTAATCTATGTCAATAATCAAAATTTCATTAAGATCTAAACATTTTTAAGATTATTTATTTTAAAAGCCACTCATCTCGCACGTAAAATGTTCAGCTATTAAGGTTGTTTTACTATTTAAGTATATTAAAAATGAACGTTAAGCGCGAAAAAACTTTTTCTGTCGCCTTATGAACCAACAAACTTATTAAGAGGCAGTTTCACTGCCATAAGTAAATTAACTAAATTTGATCGTAAAACTTTATTTGTTTGTTTATAGAGCCCTAATCTCGTATCGGAAAATGATCCAACTAAATTCTGGCCTTGGGTGTAAATACGGGTAGTACCTGCAAGGGTATAACGTCAAATTCTAGTCACATAGTGATTATAATTTTGGTGGCTAGTGATGCTCGTACAATTTACACAGTTTAAAGGCGATTTATTCAGTTTTTTTAGCTTTAATGTCAAAGCAAGTTAACTTATTGTTCTGTAACATTAAAGTCTTGTTTTCCAAAACATGGTCCTCTAACAAAGCCCTCCTCTCCAGAATGAGAATAGAAGAGAGACTGAAAATAGACGAGAAGCACCGCCACGAGGAGAAGCGAGCTCAGCAGCACTTAATGAAACTGGAGGTACACCACAAGACCGTTAAACTGGACCACAAGCCAGGGAAGGATGCAGCGGGGGAGGCCATCAGGAAACACGATCCAACAACTAGTTACCTTAGCACCTACATGCCCAAAACTAACCCTGTAAGTAGTTCACTGTAAGCACATCCCCATGTTGTGAAGAAAAATAAAAGTTACGTAATTCTTAATAATAAAACATGACGTTCTTAGTTGAGTACATGGTAGTGGTACATGGTTTAAATTCGACAACCACCTCATCATTGGTAATCGAGCAGAATCCATCATCTGAGGATCTAATTTGTTGTAGTTTCAAGTTAAAGATGCTTGTCTCTCCACAGAGTAAGGGCCCAAGCAGACAGGGTAGTGTCTCTAAAGTGGGCAGGACTAAAGGAAAACAGAGCCCAGCTGACGGGCAACAGTCAGATGGTCAATATAAGCTTGAGACTTCCACCAACAGGTTCGTGTTTACTTGTGCTAGTTTGATCGTTTAGTTTTTATCAAACCTTGATAGATGGATAATGGTTTTTAGTTTACGATGTAATTTTGTATATTTCAGGGTCGAAGTTTCGAAGAATGTTAGGATTGAATCGATTCCTCAGGGCATTCCTCACTCGATATCTTCTAGTAGAAGGTAAATTTACTTCAAAATCAATATCTGATATGGAACATGAATTGACTTTTCAGGCATTGCACCTAGTCCATATAATCCACGTTTTATGTTGGGATCCCAATATCTAATAGTTTATGTTAGTGTTATTTTTCGATAAATTTATAAAATATTTCAGTGAGCACAGTGCTAGTACTTCACATTCCACTGACAAGAAAGAAGATCGTTCGAGCGTTAAACCCACTATCCAAATACTGACGCAGACTCCCAAACTCTCTCAAGAATACAAGCAGAGCGAGTACACCCACCACTCTCGGGACATGACGTCACACTCACGTGACGTCACATCTCACTCACGTGACGTCACGCACCTTACACATGACGTCACGTCGCACTCACGTGATGGTTCACATCGCTCGCGTGATTCTGGGCAGCCTTCACGTGATATCACATCCCACTCACGTGACGTCACTCAACTATCACGCGACTCACATCATGTTCGTGAAATCTCCATCCCATCTTCTTCACAATCGACTCACTCTTCAACCAAACCTGATTCGGAAAAGAAGATCGAGCACATTGTCAGTGAACATTCGTCCCAGAAACAAGGAACGGCACAAACTACCACTAAACTTACTACCACAGCTCCCACTATTTGTGTACGAGCAGTTTCAAAACCCAGTTCCAGTCAACCTAAACCTTATATTCCGTACACCACTAAAGTCAGGTAAAATCAAACGAACAATTATTTTCTAACTTTCCAAAGCTTGCTCGGAAAACATTATGTTATACGTTCGAAGCTAAATCTTGGCTATTCGTTTGTTGTCATTTGTCTTACTCTCAATAAAAATAATTGTTTCAGCTCCCAAGAGATGCAGATGACAAATCTGTACCAGCAGCAGCTACAATACCAGCTGGCCATGATGCAGCAGCAGAGTAGCCCTATCAGAACCAGTTTGTCACTCTACAAACCAGGCTCCAAAGATCCCGCTCCCAAACTGTCCTCTCCAATGATGGATGTCGGTGGAATGTATCCTCAGCAACAACAACAACAACAACAACAACAGCAACAACAACAACAACAACAACAACCGCAACAACAACAACAACCGCAACAACAACCGCAACAACAACAACAACAACCGCAACAACAACAACAACAGCAACCGCAACAACAACAACCACAAAAAGACAAAGCTGACAAAATTCTCTCCGAACAACATCGCCACATCTCGGAGAAACAGCGCCAGGAACAGCGCCAGCTGAGCGAGCAGCAGCGGCAGATGACCGACCAGCAGCGCCAGATCATCCTCCAGCAGTCTGGTTACAGACTCTCCACTGGTGGTCACGTGGTTGTGGGAAAGTTCCCCGGCTCTGGGTTCGAGCACATGGCCCAAGCTCAACAGTACCAGCTAGCTCTAGCTGCAGCTACACCTCCCTCTAAATCTAGAACTACTTCAGTCTCAGAGTCAAGTTCCAGATCAAAGCCTCCTAAACAATCACCTTACGCTCTACCTTCAGGGAAACCCTTTGGTACGTACATGCAAGCCCAGCTGACTAAACCCCACCAGAGTGTCCCAGAGACTCGGCCCCGCAAGGGTGGAACTCCAGAGGACGTTTTCAAGTTCCCTGACGATGACGAGGAGCGGAATAGTCTCCGGAGAGCAGAAGAGAGACAGAAGCAGATGTCGGGAGGAGACCGACGGGAGAAGGAGACCGACAGACCGCTAAGTTACCAGCAGAAACAGCAGCTCCACAGTAAAATGCTACACGAGAGACAGATGATGGAACTGCGAGCTATACACGAACGGAAAGTGGAGGACGACATTAAGCGGTTTAAGGAGGAGTTTTGTAAAAATATTGACAAGATTGCCGGGGAACTTTCCATTCCGAGCACAAGTCAGCCCGAGCCCCGAGAACACCACCCGATAGTTTCCCACGCAGCCTCATCTCACGCCTCATCCACCATGATGACGTCATCACAGAGAGAAGTGACGTCATCGCACAAAGAGCACGTGTCATCCCACGTGTCAAGTAGTGAGAGGCGCGGTGTGGAGGTTCAGCACTATCTCCAGGAGGGTAGGGGTTATCCAGCGCATGGCCTGACCATCACCACCCCTCATCTCACTCTCCCTGCTTCCTCTGGTCATCTTGTCACCAGCTCCGGGATCATCATTACTCACCCGCATTCTTCAACTTATGGTATGTTTCATTCCAATTTTAAATAGCTTTTTATGTGTAGCTTCTCTTTTTATACGCACCTCTCATTGATTGACCGTCTAAAGAACTGTTTGACCTAAAACCCTCTGATATAAATTATACTTTACCCTGCTCAATGTTGTATCACCCATATCACGCTTTACAGATTCAGTCGAGGATTACAACAAGAGAAATAAAAGGAAGATGGCTGGACAGGACTACATCAACTCCTTACTTAAATCAGCGCTCAGGTTATTACAAAACTGCTAAATAATATCTCGTTTAATCGTTATTCTAGTCATTTACTTTTATTGTCGTTTTGAAACTCTAAATAAAGTCCACTTCCTTTTACTTTTAACTGTACTAATAGTTTGACTGAGTTTATTAACATTCCAGTTCTATATTTCCAAGAATCACGAAACTAACCTAACATCCCGACAGCCTACTACAGAAGACCCTGAAGATCAGACCCAAGACACGTCTGGTTAACCCGAGCTATCCTCCCCACATCTGGCACCAACAGAGCATGGACCCTAAGTTCGTAGAGAAAGGGCTCACCCCCATAGATCTCATGACAGTCAAGAAGAAGCTTGAGGTACATAAAACAACTACCACTATTGATTGATTGATTCTTATAGTTGTGACTTATCGTTGACAGTCAAGAAAGATATTACTTCATTAATTTCTGATTTTTCAAAAGTAAACCCAATTCTAATTTCAGTTTGGCGAGTACCCATCATTTGAAGCGTTCTACAACGACGTCACTCACTTTCAGAGAAACTACTCGGAAGTTTACCCTGCTGAGCATCAGGTGTGGAACCCTTCTCCTTTTTAGTTTCCAAGGTGTCTTTGCAAGACACCTTGGCTTTTATTTTTTACCGCACTCCATTTTATGTTTTGATCTCTAACTTTCTAGGATCTGTCTCTTTCTTGATTGATTATGTCACTGTACTTACCTTTATTATACCTACATGTATTGTATGGTTTCTGCTTCTATTAGGTTAGTGTGGTTTACAATAAAAGATGTTTTAATTTTGTCTTTGCCTTAATATGATGATTTATACTTTTGTTCACTATTACACATTTGCTCACATCACTCACAGTCAGCCGCTCTGACATGGTTAACCACCTTCCTTGTGTTGTTGGTTAATCATATGAGCGTGATATAAATACCTCATTTCATTTCATTGGTTGAAGGGAGCTAGGGGGATAGACAACTTGTTCTTGGGGATTAGCTTATCATTTTAAGATGAAATCCGATGAATAATCAATAACTAACTTGTAGTTATACCTTTTGAAACATGTTAACCTTTTGCAGCTACGCCAAGAGATAGACGAGATTATGGGAGTGTTTCTGAAGGAGCTGAACGAAATATACCGTGGAATATCGCCCCATCAGGTCAGCTGTTAAAGTACTGAGGCATGATATATCCCATCAGTAACGTGACGTCACGCCAATAACTTGACGTCACGCCAATAATAATGTATTTTCTATGATTTTATCTAACATCCCCAACATCCGCTAATTATCACTACATTTTGTAATAATCCATGTTTTTCAGGCCCTGCCCCCTGCTCCTAGTTCAAAGAAGATGAAACCAGACGGGTCATGAGATTTACGAGAATAAAAGCCACATTTTTATAAGTATCATGTCAGGACAAACACTAACAAATAAGTTCGCGCTCTAAGTTTAAGCGGTGTTATCTTCGATATTAAACTTGAAGCACAAGAATGAGGCGAGGGAGACTCCCTTCTCCGCTTGTATGCTATTAACCTTATATTTTGTACTTAGCTTTTAATATGATGATATTAATTCACAACCTGACGGCAGTTCTATTTCTAAAGTTGTACACCTGCGTCCTGCACTTCGTTTATGGGGATTGGAAACATACATTTATACAGCCTAGAAAGAGCTTTATGATAATTTGTTGTTTATGATAATTATGCTAGATTATATCGTATAATTTATTAAGTTATTGTGCTGTTAAAAACATATCATAGATCGGTAATTATCAATTTAAATGGATGATGATTAATCACTCTACACTCAAGTTCAACTGTCACGTGACTTATTCAACCCGTTCTCTAGCTGGCCCTGAACGACTATTCCTAACCCTCTAATCTGATCCCAACCCTAACTAGTGAAATCGATCCCGATCTAAATATTTAATCCCAGGATTCGGAAATCCCGGGATTCCCGAAAATCAGGAAACTCATCGGAAATTTCCCTTAATGCTTTAAAAATATCTAAGTTCGAGTGTAGAGTGATTTAGCACGCCCAAATTTAAGTATGAGATCTAACACGGTTATTGCACCATTGTTTATATATAAATAATTATATCAAGCTGACATTACAAAACTTTAATCACAGCGTTTGACTTTTATGTAGGTATCACTATCCGAATGTTATAATTGCTTTCTATTGGATTCAAAAATGTAGTAAAGCATTCAGTAATAGTATAATATAAAAGTGAAACACTGATACTTGCACTAGTTGCAGTATATAGCGCTCGTCTGCCAAGTCTTTTTACCTTATCTTTTTACTTGTGACGTTACCTAGGGTGCAGGTCTACAACGTGTGAAAATGTTATCATATGATAGAATAGAGTGTCCTGACCATCCTGCAGTATCGGGACCCTTCATTAAAGCGGTGCTGTGAGCACTAGATTGCCAACACTTCGGACATCGACAGGCATCGGAATATCCACCGAAAATTTGTTTTGCTAAATTCTCCTATGTTGTTGCTCTAACCAGAGTTATCATACGTTGTATGACCCACCGCTCACAAGTGTGCGGCCCCCTGTATCGTAGAACCGCTACACTGTACACTAGTCACGACGTGATACAAGATATTGCTTCATTCCGGTGTTACGGACCTCTAAAATTTAGAGTTCGGGTGATACTCGTAAAATATTTGTTCCATATATTATATACCGTCGACGAATCCAACTCGGCGCGCGTCCTGGTAGGTTGTGAAATGTAAACCTACAAAGAACGTGTTGCTCGTGCCGTATAGTCTTTACAATGAAAAAGTTGCAGTTAAATCTGATTCAGAAGATGAATCCGAGTTCGTGGAAACATTTGTGACAAGATTAAAAACATATTTTTGGCTGTATATGTCCGTAAACTGAGTTGGATTTGCCCTGGTATGATACAGTGTCATGAGTACTAACATTTTAAGCCTCCTGTGAAATATTTCCCTGATTCATGGAATGAATGAAATGAACAAAAATGAACATTGTCTCAGAATCGCCTGAAATGAGCTGAAACCGATTGGGATCGATTGGTAATGATACCAGAAGTGTCCCTGAGAAGTTTGGTGGGTCTAGCATGTAACGAAAGGGCTCTAGGGCAATGTTTCCAAATTGGTTCCAGAGTAGTTGAGATCGTGGAAACATTTGTGACCGATTTGGAAACATGCTCTTGTAGCTGTAATTCTGCCTGGACTAACTTGGAATCGATCTGGCATGGTAGAGGGACATGTGTACTATCATTTCTAACCACTCAGAAGTGCGAAATATTGCCCTGGTTCATGGAATGAACGAAATGAACAAAAAATGAACATCATCCTAGAATCGCCTGAAATGAGCTGAAACCGATTGGGATCGATTGGTAATGATACCAGAAGTGTCCCTGAGAAGTTTGGTGGGTCTAGCATGTTACAAAAGGGCTCTAGGGCAATGTTTCCATTTTGGTTCCAGAGTAGTTGAGATCGTGGAAACATTTGTGACCGATTTGGAAACATGCCCTTGTAGCCGTAATTCTGCCTGGACTGACTTGGAATCGATCTGGCATGGTAGAGGGACATGTGTACTATCATTTCTAACCACTCAGAAGTGCAAAATATTGCCCTGGTTCATGGAATGAACGAAATGAACAAAAAATGAACATCATCCTAGAATCGCCTGAAATGAGCTGAAACCGATTGGGATCGATTGGTAATGATACCAGAAGTGTCCCTGAGAAGTTTGGTGGGTCTAGCATGTTACAAAAGGGCTCTAGGGCAATGTTTCCATTTTGGTTCCAGAGTAGTTGAGATCGTGGAAACATTTGTGACCGATTTGGAAACATGCCCTTGTAGCCGTAATTCTGCCTGGACTGACTTGAAATCGATCTGGCATGGTAGAGGGACATGTGTACTATCATCTCTAACCACTCGGAAGTGCAAAATATTGCCCAGGTTCATGGAGTGAACGAAATGAACAAAAAATGAACATCATCCTAGAATCGCAAGAAATGAGCTGAACCCGATTGGGATCGATTGGTAATGATACCAGAAGTGTCCCTGAGAAGTTTGGTGGGTCTAGCATGTTACAAAAGGGCTCTAGGGCAATGGTTCCATTTTGGTTCCAGAGTAGTTGAGAATTGAGATCGTGGAAACATTTGTGACCGATTTGGAAACATGCCCTTGTAGCCGTAATTTTGCCTGGACTGACTTGGAATCGATCTGGCATGGTAGAGGGACATGTGTACTATCATTTCTAACCACTCAGAAGTGCAAAATATTGCCCTGGTTCATGGAATGAACGAAATGAACAAAAAATGAACATCATCCTAGAATCGCCTGAAATGAGCTGAAACCGATTGGGATCGATTGGTAATGATACCAGAAGTGTCCCTGAGAAGTTTGGTGGGTCTAGCATATTAAGAAAGGGCTCTGGGGCAATGTTTTCATTTTGGTTTCAGAGTAGTTGAGATCGTGGAAAGATTTGTGACCGAATTGGAAACATGCCAACATTCAAGTACGTTTTAAAGCAATTTACACGAGAGTATGATAATTATTATCAGTTTAATCTTGTTCAGCGTCATCGAAAATGTAGGGTTACAAGGTTTTCCTTTCGATTTTCATCCATAAAAAATCCTTCTATTTTCGATTCTCTGAGCCAGCTGTCTGCTGGGTTTCAGAAGGTGGTACCAGATGCTGCTATAATTGAGCGTTCAGCTCCTCTAATTGGGTCCAATTACACACGAAACACTGTATTACTCAATATAATGCCTGATCAAGTAACTTGAGCTCTGGTGACGTCACAAAATATCCTAGTCGGCATACGACACGTAACGAATGTGATCACGTGCTCGAGGATTAACGAATCAAAGTCACGTGATAGGACCAACTGTCACGTGACCTCAGTTATCCCTTATATGGCACAAGGAGCTGCAATTGATCAGCTTTTAATTGGGCTGCAATCATTGACAGGCCTATAATTACCCAATTTTAAATGAACATTCTACAGAATGATGAGAGCATAAACAGAATGCTTCCCGAAATCAGCACAATGAAGGGAACAAAATGCTGTTGGAATTTCAATTATTCATCTTCCACCCGTAGTCTCTAATGTTTCCAAATCGGACACAAATGTTTCCACGAGCTCAACTACTCTGACACCAAAATGGAAACATTGCCCCAGAGCCCTTACCGGACATGCTAGACCCACCAAACTTCTCAGGGACACTTGTGGTATCAATACAAATCGATCCCAATCGGTTTCAGCTCATTTTAGGCGATTCTATGACAATGTTCATTTTTTGTTAATTTCGTTCATTCCATGAACCAGGGCAATATTTTGCACTTCTGAGTGGTTAGAAATGATAGTACACATGTCCCTATACCATGCCAGATCGATTCCAAGTCAGTCCAGGCAAAATTACGGCTACAAGGGCATGTTTCCAAATCGGTCACAAATGTTTCCACGATCTCAACTACTATACTCTGAAACCAAAATGGAAACATTGCCCCAGAACCCTTTCTTAGTTCATGCTAGACCCATTAAACTTCTCAGGGACACTTCTGGTATCATTACCAATCGATCCCAATCGGTTTCAGCTCATTTCAGGCGATTCTAGGATGATGTTCATTTTTTGTTCATTTCGTTCATTCCATGAACCAGGGCAATATTTTGCACTTCTGAGTGGTTAGAAATGATAGTACACATGTCCCTCTACCATGCCAGATGGATTGCAAGTCAGTCCAGGCAGAATTACGGCTACAAGGGCATGTTTCCAAATCGGTCACAAATGTTTCCACGATCTCAACTACTCTTGAACCAAAATGGAAACATTGCCCCAGAACCCTTTCTTAACATGCTAGACCCACCAAACTTCTCAGGGACACTTCAGGTATCATTACCAATCGATCCCAATCGGTTTCAGCTCATTTCAGGCGATTCTAGGATGATGTTCATTTTTTGTTCATTTCGTTCATTCCATGAACCAGGGCAATATTTCGCACTTCTGAGTGGTTAGAAATGATAGTACACATGTCCCTCTACCATGCCAGATCGATTCCAAGTCAGTCCAGGCAGAATTACGGCTACAAGGGCATGTTTCCAAATCGGTCACAAATGTTTCCACGATCTCAACTACTCTGGAACCAAAATGGAAACATTGCCCTAGAGCCCTTTTGTAACATGCTAGACCCACCAAACTTCTCAGGGACACTTCTGGTATCATTACCAATCGATCCCAATCGGTTTCAGCTCATTTCAGGCGATTCTAGGATGATGTTCATTTTTTGTTCATTTCGTTCATTCCATGAACCAGGGCAATATTTCGCACTTCTGAGTGGTTAGAAATGATAGTACACATGTCCCTCTACCATGCCAGATCGATTCCAAGTCAGTCCAGGCAAAATTACGGCTACAAGGGCATGTTTCCAAATCGGTCACAATTCTGTCACATGTTTCCAAAATGTTTCCAAAATCTCGGATTCATGAACTCATCTGATTCGGATGCCGCGCGTGACGTATTTAGTAGGATATTTTTTCAGAAGCGAGAGACCGTGCCAGAATCCTCGTGGTGCCGTAACAATGGAAAGATAGATGATCACAAGAAACACAATAAAAGTATCATCACTAGCCATGTAAAGTTAATGTTATGATGAGATAACAGCAGATTGATCCACATAAACACTATATTTAACAGATGCCACCGATCAGATGACCATAATAATGGTAACTAACCTATATTATATCTCAAATTCTGCATCCGGTACGGCTCTGAACACATGATATCTCTCTCTGCCATGAAACATGGCTAACTTTTTAAACTATGATTTAAAACCTCAACCTAAACTAAAACTCAACTGGGCTCTCCTGTGTCACCAAACTAGATCAATAAGCAATTTTAGATTATTATATTTTTCTATATTTGTATAATAAGTATATTGACGTAGTGGATGGTTGAGGGGGTTTCAAACACAGGTCATTCTCAAATCCTAAAGATAAGTAGTGGCCTTCGGGGCTTGAAACCTCTTCAAACCTCCCCTGATTTATTTATTATTAATATTGTTTGATTGTGCCGTAAAAATAAATATTTGTTTCATTAAAATATTTGTTTTATTAGTAAATCGAACATGTTTTTCGAC